CATATTTCCTCTCTGTTTTTAGAAATATTTTGTGTTTTCTCCCTATTTTTAGAAACATATTTTCATGCATCAATTCTTGAGCTTGAGAAACTTTATATAGGATATCATCTGGAGATAAATAGCCTGAGATTTTACTTATGTGATCAATTTTATCATCATTGGCTAACGCGCTGCTGTTTTTGCATTTAGCTTCTGATTCATCTAATAATGGTTAAATGACTTCCTCCATCAATGTTCTTCTCACTGACCGTGGGCACAAATTTTAAAATTCTGAATTTTTAGGCCGGGCGCGGTGGCTCAAACCTGTAATCCCAGCACTTTGGGAGGCCGAGATGGGTGGATCATGAGGTCAGGAGATCAAGACCATCCTGGCTAACATGGTGAAACCCCGTCTCTACTAAAATACAAAAAAAAATTAGCTGGGCGTGGTGGCGGGCACCTGTAGTCCCAGCTACTCGGGAGGCTGAGGCAGGAGAATGGCGTGAACCCGGGAGACGGAACTTGCAGTGAGCTGAGATCCGGCCACTGCACTCCAGCCTGGGTGACAGAGCGAGACTCCGTCTCAAAAAAAAAAAAAAAAATTCTGAATTTTTAACTATGTTTAAATAAAGCTAAAGAAGAAACTCAAAAGATGGTGTCTCCAAACTTCTTTTATATCTTGAGTATGAAAACTGAAGAATGTTATAATAGTGATTTGATTCTTGTATCATCCTTTAGACAGTTGCCTCATTTCACGTTTTAAAAATTAGTCTTTTTAAGCGTGCATAGAAATAATTAATGCATAGTGATGAAATAATTACTCAGATAATGAATATCAATATATTTCAAGATATAGGAAAAAAGATTCCATAATGTATCTCAGATGTATAAAAGGGTACAATAGAGTCATATGGTAATTGCAAGTAAGAATGTGTTCTGTGTTTCGAAAAATAAATAAAATTTATCTTTGGTCATTGGAAGACTGCTAACAAAGAAAAAATGTCATGAAGTGTCACTCCTTACTGATAGTAAGAAATAGTGACAAAGGAAACTTAAAACCTAAAATTGGAGCCAGTGGGTCCTCAAGGGATGAGAATCTTTTTGAAAATGCTTATTAAAGTTTTTTCATTTTTAGAGTTTTTTTTGGTGGTTGTTCCAGGTTATTTCACCCCTCTCACAAATTCAGATTTCTCTTTTTCTACCCTCCTTTCTTTCTCGTGTCCCTTTCCCTTCCCATTCCTCTCTCTCTTTCCTTCCTTCTTTCTCCCCTTTGCTTGCTGTCTCCTTTTTTTCCCTCCCTCTCACTCCCTTCTCTCCTTTTTCTTCTTAACTCCATTTTCTTTCTGTCTCCCCCCCTTTTTTTTTTTTTTTTTTTGGTGAGACAGATCTCACTCTGTCATCCAGGCTGGAGTGCAGTGGCATGATCTCGACTCACTGCAACCTCCACTTCCCAGGAGAGCACCACTACCACCCAGCTAACTTTTGTAATTTTTAGTAGAGGTGGGGTTTCACCATGTTGGCCAGGCTGGTCTTGAACTCCTGATCTCAAATGATCCACCCACCTTGGCCTCCCAAAGTGCTAGGATTATAGTGTCTTCTATTTTTATTCTAATGCCTGGTAATTTTCTGCTGTATTTCTGTATTTAAGAATGTAGATATAGTTTATTTTAGGTTTCATATACCTTTCTCATTTGCTTTGTTTGTAAGTAGTTCATTTTTCTAATACTCCCTCTCCTTGAGTGGGAAACTTGATAGTGACTAATATTACTTGTTAGGGCATGTTGATTGAAATTTTCAGCCTAGGGTGGGTGGGATGAGAACTGCCAACCAAGCTGTAGGTTCCCTAATGTGATGGTGAGGAGGAATTTATTCTAGTTGTTAACACCAACATGAGAAGTCTTACCACTTCCCAGTTAATGAGTGCAGCTTCCTTGGAAAAGAATCTGTGTTCCTAGAAGTTTTCAAAATGGAAAGGTTGTTAAATACAAAGATGCTGCCTGAAGTCATTTTCAGGGAAGTGGAGAATAAGGATGGTTAGTCATTGAATTGAAACACTTGTTCTGTGTGTAAATTTCTAATTGATCCCCTGATTTCATCCCTACTTTTTACTCTCACGCTTAATCCCAGTAGCTCCCATCTTTACTGTAGCCACCTTGTAGTATCTTCTAGATTTTGGCCTCTTCTGTTTATTTTATCTCTTAACCACTTACTTTCCATTTTTCTGAAATACGTTGTCTTTTTCCACTCTCCTTTCCTTCACTGTTTTGTGGTTTGTTCCTTTCAATCTCTATACCTTCATTACTAGGGGACTAGGAAGGACAGAAAGTCAATGCGTTTTCTGAATCATGTGTATAGGCAGCATCAAATTCTATCAAACATTTGATGAAGAACTAACACCAGTTCTTCTCAACCTCTTCCAAAAATGGAAGAGAAGGAAATATTTTCCAAACTCATTTCACGAGGCCAGCGTTACTCTGATACTGAAGACACAAAGATGCAATAAAAACTAACAGCAAAAAAACTGCAGGCCAATATAGATGCAAAAATCCTCAACAGAATACTAGCAAACCAAATTCAACAGCACATTAAAGAGACTATTCGCCATGATCAAGTAGGATTTATTCCAGGTATGCAAGGGTGGTTCCACACACGCAAATCAAAATGTTTATTAGCAGAATGGAGAACAAAAATTATGTGATCATTTTAATAAAGGCGGAAAAAGTTGAAGTAAAGATGCCCACTCTTGCCACTTCTGTTCAATGTAGTACTATGAACCTACTAGAAGAAAACATAGGGAAAAGCTCCATGAGATTGAGCTCACCAGAAATTCTTTGGAAAGGACCTCAAAAGCTCAGGCAATGAAAGCAAGAATAGACAAATGGGATTGTATCAAGCTTAAAAACCTTCTGCACAACCAACATTAACAGAGTAAAGAATGGGAGAAAATATTTGCAAACTGCGTATCTGATAATGGGTTAATATGTAAAGTATATGAGGAACTCAACTGGATGATTGGAAAACAACCCAATTTAAACATGGGCAAAGGACCTGAATAGACATTTCTTTAAAAAAAAACATACAAATGGCAGACAAGTATGCGAAAAGATGTTCAACATCACTGATCATTAAAATAAAACCACAGCAAGATATCACTTCTCACCTATTAGAATAGCTGTTATCAAAAAGAAGACTAGTATCGCAAGGGTGTGAAGAAAAGATAACCTTTGTACATTGTAGGTGGCAATGTAAATTAGCACAGGTATTGTGGAAAACATAAATATTATTCCAAAAATTAGAACTGCCATATGATCCCACAATCTCACTACTGGGTATAGTACTTTTCCTTTGTCCAAAGGGGATATACTCCAAGACCCCTAGCAGCTGCCCAAAACCATGGATGGTACTGAACTCTGTATACACTGTTTTTTCCTAAATATACATACCTATAATAAAGTTTAACTAAGCACTTACCACTTTGTCTTAGCACTTTGGGGCCATTATTAAGTAAAATAAGGGTTGCATGATCACAAGCACTGTGATATCTCAATAGTTGATATGATAGCAGAGACAGCTACTAAGTGACTAACAGGCAGGGAGCATGGACAGTGTGGATACCCTGCATGAAGGGATGATTCATGTTGTTTATTTCTGGAATTTTCCATTAAATATTTGTAGATCATGGTTGACTGCAGGTAACTGAAACTGTGGAAGGTGACACTTCAGATAGGGAGCACTACTATGTATATCAAAAGGAAATAATCAGTATGTTGAAGAGACATCCGCACTCCCATGTTTATTGCAGGCTTATTCACATTAGGCATAGAATAAACCTAAGCGTCCATTAATGGATGAATAAAGAAAATGTGGTCTATATACACAGTGGAATACTATTTAGACATAAGAAGGAAATTCTGTCATTTACAACAACATGGATGAACCTGGAGGACATTCTTAAGTAAAATAAGCCAGGCACAGAATCTTAAAAAATTGATCTCATAGAAGTAGAGAGTAGAATGGTTGTTGCCAGGGCCCTGTGTGGCTATGGGAAGGTTTTGGGGAGATGTTGGTCAAAGGATACAATATTTTGGTTAGGAAGAATAAGTTCAGGGGTTCTATTGTATAACATAGTGACTGTAGTGAAAAATTTGTTGTATTCTTGAAAAATGCTAAGAAAATGGATGTAAAGTGTTCTCACTGCAAAATAACTATGTGAGGTAATGTGTGTATTTACATTAGCTAGATTTGATGATTTCACAATGTATGTGTACTTCAAAACCATGTATAGCACACCATAAATACATACAATCTTTTATGTGTTAATTTAAAAAAAAATTAAAGGCAGTTTTTACTACCACCAGCAGACAGTTTTTACTACCACCAGTGTTTGAAGTTACCATTTTACAGCAACCCAAATATTAAATTTTTCTGCCAGTTTAAATTTTATAAAATACCTCTCTTTTGTTATAATGTATAATTTTTTTATAGGTGACTAGCAAGAATTGCCATTTTCTCTTTTGAATTTTTTGTTATGACGTAGTTTTCTATGAATTGTTTATTCATTTGTATGACATATTTACTGTATCATCCTGATTTTTATAAGTTCTTTATGCAGTATGGGTACAACCCTTCATATCTGCTATAAATATCTTAGCCTTTGTTTTCATTCTAAATTTAGTTATGTTTATTTTATAAATTGCTTTTTTCTTATTTGACTACGTTTATGTTTCATGATTTGTAAACCTTGAAGCAATAAAAAAGGTTATTTTCTCTCCAAACAATTTATACTGAATGAGATTTTTATTTTTGTTTTACTAAACTTTCTAAAAGTAATATTTATAGAACACTTCTGCAAAATAATTTTGCAGTGTGTATTGAAAGCTAAGAAAATGTCTGCATTTTAACTCTTAGAAGGCTTAATTAAAAGGAAGAATAAAGTTTGGTGTTTTGAAGTAAGCATATTCTTATTTTATCAAATGCTTTAAAATATTGAAAGTCAGGTAAAATATTTTTGTGTTTTCCAGATTATTGCTCAGTTGTAACAATTGTGGACCAGACAAATGTAAAATTAACTTGCCTGCTCTTTAGTGGAAACTATGAAGCCCTTCCAATAATTTATAAAAATGGAGATATTGTGCGCTTTCACAGGCTGAAGGTATAATTCATACTGTCTAGAACTTTATTTGAAGAGAACTCTGTATTGTTCACTGAAACTAGTTAGCACCAATTATGTGGTTGCTTTGTTAGAACATGACAGCAAGCTTTTCACGAGATAAGAAGTAGTGTAAATATTATCAGACTTCAAATAATTTACAGTAAGAAACATCTTCATTTGAACAAACCACTTGCCTTTGTTCCCCAGAAATGTGTTACATGCCCTGATTAAGACTAGTTCCATTCTGTCTTCTGTTTCTAAATATAGACTAATGCTGTAGAAGTTTTATCTATAGAGTTTGATAAAGAACATTTGTGTTTTAATGTTTTAAAAAACAGCTTTAGGTCAACAAGAAAAAATGTATACAAAGATTAGGAGATTATATTATTCTTTCCTGTTTCTTGTATAAATTCAAGTTCAATGAAAACATTGAGATACTAAATATAAAATCAAATTAAGTTGGTTTTCATTTATAAGAAATAAGATATGAACAGGTACTTTTAAAAGTATGCCTGTAGTTAAATAACTAAATGTAAGAAAGCTTTTAATATAAGGGTAGAGTTATTAAATAGCACAATTTTTAAGAAATAAAAATTTTAGAACTTACACATGCAAAGGATTATTATTTTCTCAAAATTATTTTCCTTATTGCTATAATATATTAATTGAGCTTTTTTGTTCAATGCACTTTTGGAATTTTTCTTTGGAAATTGCTGCATGATGCTTTGGACAGCTTTTAAATATTAAATATTTTCAGTCCCTTAGATTTTAAATATTTCAGTTTCTTCATGTTTTCCTTTGTTACATGGGTTTCCATGTAACCTCTTCATCATCTTGGTTGTCTTTTTCTTCTAAGGCTTCAGTTTATTCTGTCCTTCATGATCAGTCTGATGCTCATAAACGAGGACAGCATTCAGCTGTGTTCTACTCTTAGGCACTTCTTATGACCTATTAATGCTGTTTCATTGAGAATAGGAGGATAATAGAGAATACTTGTGTAAAGATAAAAAGAAATAGAAATATTATCATCACTGGGCATGGTGGCTCACGCCTGTAATCCCAGCACTTTGGGAGGTTGACACTGGCGGATCACCTGAGGTCAGGAGTTCGAGACCAGCCTGACCAACATGGAGGAACCCTGTCTCTACTAAAAATACAAAATTAGTCGGGCGTGGTGCTACATGCTTGTAATCCTAGCTATTCAGGAGGCTGAAGCGGGAGAATCACTTGAACCCGGAGGGCGGAGGTTGTGGCAAGCCAAGATTGTGCTATTGCACTCCAGCCTCGGCAACAAGAGCAAAACTCCGACTCAAAAAAAAAAAGAAAAAGAAAAAGAAAAAAAGAAATATCATAGCCATGTAATACATACTTATTTAAACGTCAAAAAATTGCTTACTTTTCAAAGTATTGTTTCCTATATACTGTATTCAAAGAATGCACGCTTCCTTCATACACATATTTAGTTGTTGTTATTGTTTATGGAAGTTACTATTTTTTTTTTGAGACGTAGTCTCGCTCTGTCACCCAGGCTGGAGTGCAGTGGCGCGATCTCGGCTCACTGCAAGCTCCGCCTCCCGGGTTTGCTAGGATGGTCTTGATCTCCCGACTTCCTGATCTGCCTGCCTCGGCCTCCCAAAGTGCTGGGATTACAAGCGTGAGCCACCGTGCCCGGCCAGAAGTTATTATTTAATAGCAAATAGATAAGCATTTCATCATTCACAATATAACTATATACTCCTATGGCTAACACTCTAGAAACTTCCCTCATATTCCCATCCAGGGAGGTCATTATTGTGTCTCCTGCTACAGGAGTAAAGAGTCTTATGACCTCTAACAGCATATAGTTACCTCTTGAACAACACAGGTTTGAACTACATGGGTACACTTATATGCAGACTTTTTTCACCAAGTATTTTGGAAAATTTTTTGGAGATTTTCAACAATTTATATACACAAACACTTACAGACCATACATGGCTCCATTCACAGTCTAGAGAAATGTGAATGAATATAAAGTATTATCACTGTAGAAAATTAACTTTACTACTATAATAATTTAGCCACCTCTTTTGTAATATATTCATTTATGACTATAACTATTTTAAGTACTGCCTTAGTTGTATCCAGCAGGTTTTAATTTGTCATAACTTCATTACCATTCAGTTGAATATATAATTGAATTTTTATATTGATCATTGGTTTCATCTCTAATCTATGGGTTTATAAATAATTTGTAAATAATCCATAAGTCAAAGAGAAAATCAATATGAAAATTCAAATAAATATTGAATCATCGAGTATATATTGAATTATTATTGAATATAATATATTGAATTATATTGAACATATATTTATATATTGAATTTATATTCAAATAATCTAAATAATATACATATACATGAGTTATATTCAATCCAATTCCATAGGATTATTGTTTGTTCTTTATATTTATTTAAATCATTTAATAGTTACCTTTTTTTACTATTGTTTATTGTGGTCAGGAAACATACTCTGAAATGTTTAGTATTTTGAAATTTGTGAATGCTTACTTTATATTCTACCATATGGTCAATATCAATTTTTATTTCTTATCTACTTAATTTATCAGCTATTGAAAACTGTGTTTTAAAGACTACTATAATAGAGGATTTGCCTGTTTCTTTTAGCTCTATCGATTTTGCTTAATAATTTAAGACAATGTTAATGGGGTTTAAGCCTTCTTATTTAATTTTATGTTTTATATATTTTGAGGCTGCTGTATAGATTTAGGGTTACTATATTTTTCTATAAAATTGTTTCTCTGTTTTCATGAAATGTTCATATTTAGGGCTGCTAGCGCTTCCTTACAGTCTTTATATTGACAGTTTGCTAGCTTTGTTTGAATAGCCCTGTTTTCTTTAGTCGAGCAAGGTCATTCTAAGTACAGACATCTGTTTTAGATATCAGAATTTATTTTTCTTGTTTTTCTTATTGCAATTTGAAGATCATAGTTCATAGCAAAAATATACATAAAACAAGAGTCAAGATCTACTCTTCTTTTTTCCAGCAAATATTTATTGTTTTTTTTTTATTGTTTTTTTTTTTTGTATAGGCTTCTGTTTTAATGCAAAGAAGCAGACAATATAAAAGTAAGCATATAAATCAAAGTAATTTCAAGTAGTGATAGGTGCTATAAAGAAAATAAAACAACCGGGCACGGTGGCTCACACCTGTAATCCCAGCCCTTTGGGGGAGGTCTAGGCAGGAGGATCGCAAGGTCAGGAGTTCGAGACCAGCCTGGCCAGTATGGTGAAACACTGTCTCTACTAAAAATGCAAATATTAGCCGGGTGTGGTGGTGGGTGCTTGTAGTCACAGCTACTCAGGAGGCTGAGGTAGGAGAATTGCTTGAACCCGGGAGGCAGAGGTTGCAGTGAGCCGAGATCATACCACTGCACTCCAGCCTGGCCGACAGAGTGAGACTCCATCTCAAAAATAGTAAATAAATAAATAAATAAATAAATAAAATAAGGCAAAATCACGAAAGGCCTTTCTAATGATGAGACATAGGAATTGAGACCTAAATGATGATAATGAGAAGTCCTACTGAGATTTGAAGGAAAATGTTTTCCACCAGATGACACTATAGGTGCCAAGGCCCTATAATAGGAATGAGCATGGTATTGGAGAAACAGAAAGAAGACTAGCATAGATCCTAGTCAGCTATGGGGGAGGTGTTACGAGATGAAATTGTGGTAGGTAAGTTATTTAGATTTTACTATAGGTATAATGAGAAGTCATTAAAGGGTTTTAAATGTGCACATGAAGTGATTAGTTAAAATTTTGAAAAAAAATCACTCAGTAACACGTGGATAACTGATGGGTTGTTGAAGAACAAGCATGAAGGCAAAGATATTCTTTAGAAGACTATTTCAGTTTACAGACATGAAATGAGAATGCCTTAGACTACAGTGGTGGTGGAAATAGAAGTAGACTAATTAAGGTATATTTTGAATCTCAAGCAAAGAGGACCTGCTCATAAATGATACGTGAAAGCTACCAACACACCTAAGCTGGAAGTTGGTTCTGTTTTACTATGATAATCAGCAGAGGCAAGCTTTGGTAAACAGTATACACTAGTGAGCATGGAATTGGTGATAACAATGATGATCACAGAACCAAGAATCAATCAGACATTGGAATATAAAAGAGAAGCAGCATATACATCAAGTAGAATCCATTTAAAAGTGTAAAGTTAGGTAATAGATCAGTTGTAGGCAAGTATAGTTAGAATCTGCAGAGTGAACTTCTGCATTATGAGAAATTAACTGGTACTGGACTAGCCCTGCTGCCATGAAGACCCATAAAACGTATGAGGCAACTGTTTTTTAGGCATTGGACAATGGGTAGCTATGATCAGAAAGTTGATTGAAGAGAAACTTTTAAAGTGAGCCCCATGATGACCACATCCCTGCCTACAGACATTTTCTCAACCACTGCACAGTAAGCTGAAGTTCAAGCTGTGGTCCTGATATAGCTAAAGTCAAAGTTCAAGGCAGCTGAAAACTGGAATTTTCACAACAAGAAACCAGAGAGGAAAGAGCTATACAGAAGGGGATGTCTAAAAGTCCACCAGGGTTGGGGTGGACTTGAATACTTGGTTGAAAGCCAGGCTGCACAGGGTGGGGTAGAACTACTTAAGGATTACAAAAGCTGCTGTGTGTTTGAACTGTGGTTGAACATTGTGGTTGAACATGAAGCAGATACTAGAGGTCTAGTAATGGGGTGCTGGAAGTCCAAGATAGGGACAAATAACCTTAGTAATACCTATTTAACACCTTGGACATTCAGCTGAGGCAATACAAAGGTTTCACCCCCCTAAAGTAGCTCACCTCACAAAGGACCACATCTTACAGTGAGGCCTATTGTACACATGTTTTGTCAAAGCCTAAAACAAGTTCTACGGAGAAGACTTGGCAGAGAATTTGCAGGATGAGTCCCATCAGTGTAGAAGACTTAGGGAAACATGGGCTTTCCACAGATCACCCTAACAAAGCATAAAAACAAACATTCATGAGTTTAAGATGACCAGACAACAACTCAGTGACCAGCAAGAGCAAAAATCAGTGTTTGTCAGAAGAAGCCAACATAATTCAGAGTCTTTACAGTATAGCATCTATGATGTCTAGTAAAGAAAAAAGATATACTAGACATGAAAACAAGAAAGTGTTACCCCTAGTCAAGAAAAAAGAAAGCATAGACATTCCAAACTAACTCCATGGTAGCCCAAATGTTGTCTGTATCAAACAAAAACTTTAAAGCACAGATTTTACAGACTTTCAAAGAATTAAGTGGAGGTGGGAAGATCCCTTGAGCCCGGGAGGTCGTGGCTGGAGTGAAATATTACTACACCACTGCATTCCAGCCTGAGTGACAGAATGAGACCCTTCTCAAAAATAAATAAATAATAAATAAAATAATTTTTAAAAAGGAATTAAGCAAAAATACATTCAGTGAATTAGAGGAAGATGTTAAATGAATGTGAAAAGCTAAATTTCAGCAGAGAAGTGGAAACTTAAAAAAATAGAAATTCAGGAACTAGAAAGAACAAATGAAAAGAAAAATCTACTGGATGGGCTAAGATCAGATATAAGTTAAACTGATGACAAATCATTAGAAGCTACCTAATCTGAAGAACAAGGATTAAATAAAAATTAATAGACCCTAAGGACCTATGGAACGATATCAAATGTTACATGTAGTTTAGGATGCAAGAGGAGAGAGGGTGAAGGGAAATAAAATATTTATAGAAATAAGGACCAGAATTTCCCCAAATTTGAGGAAAAACAAAGACTTAAATGTACTTTATGCAGGGTATGCACAAAGAAAAGCACATCCAAACAAAAGATAGTGAAACCATTGAAAAAGAGAAAAATCTTGAAATCAACTGGAGAATAAATGATGCATTGTCGGAGAACAATGATACCAGTCATCTTTCACTTTTTACCAGAGACAATGACACCCAGAGAACAAAGAAATAATTTGTACATGGTGATAGAAAAAAAATTTGGTCACACAGAATTTTATATCCAGAAAATTCTTCAGGAATGAGAGTGAAATAAACATTTTATATAAAGGAAAAATGAGATAGTCCATGGCCAGCATATCTGCATAGCATTAATGCAAAAGAATGATATTCAGACCAAAGAGGAATGCTAGCAACTAGAAGCTGGATAGTTAAGAAGTGACAAAAATACAAGAAATGATGGAAAAAAAATAGTAAATATGTAAACACAATGTTTTTATTTCTTTCCATAATTAAATTGCAAGATAAATGCCTGTTTAAGGGCCGGGCGCGGTGGCTCAAGCCTGTAATCCCAGCACTTTGGGAGGCCGAGACGGGTGGATCACGAGGTCAGGAGATCGAGACCATCCTGGCTAATACGGCGAAACCCCGTCTCTACTAAAAATACAAAAAAACTAGCCGGGCGAGGTGGCGGGCGCCTGTAGTCCCAGCTACTCGGGAGGCTGAGGCAGGAGAATGGTGTAAACCCGGGAGGCGGAGCTTGCAGTGAGCTGAGATCCGGCCACTGCACTCCAGCCTGGGCGACAGAGCGAGACTCCATCTCAAAAAAAAAAAAAAAAAAAAATGCCTGTTTAAAGCAAAACCAGTAATATTACATGGTGGAGATTATAAAATATGTAGAAAAAATACTACAACAGTAACCCAAAGGATGAGTGGGATGAATGAATGGAATTCTACCAGTGAAAAGTTATATTTGTGAAGTAGAATGCGTAAAATAGGAAGTGGCAAGTATGAAATGGAAAGTAGAAAGTACATAGTAGAACAATATTGATTTCCAAGTAGACATTGAAAAGTTAAAGATTTATTCATAGCCAAGAAGAAGGAAGTGGAGCACTAATAAGAATTCCAAAAGGAAAACAAGAAAGGAACAATAGGAAAAAAAAAAGTTTTAAAAAAGCAAAGAAGCTAAAAAGCAAGAAGCGTGGAAAAAAAGGAAAACAAGATAGTAGACTCAAATATGGCCATGTTAATAACTGCCTTTCTGTGAATGGACTAATTTCCATTTGCAAGCAAAAGATTGACTGAGCAAAAAAAATCAGGAACCAAATATATGCTACCTACAAGAAGTGCACTTTAAATATGAAGACTTAAACAAGTTAGAACTAAAGCTGTAAAAAAAAAAAAAAATGTACTAAGTAAACATAAGGGAAATGAAATAACTGTATTACTATGAGAGAGTTTTGAAAGGAGCTTTTCGTAAAGACAAAGGGGTCTTTTCATGAAGATATAGCAATATAAATGTATGTGCCTCTGATAACAGCCCCCAAATTCAGAAAGCAAAAGAGCTTATGGCATATCTCAGTGCTCTCAGTCACTCTGATCAAACCCTAGCCTGAGCTTCATTTTATTCACTTTATATTCTCATATTTCAAGTGTTCTAGTCTTTTCTGTAATATTCATAAGTCACTGTCATTTATGATCCTTTTTCCTTGTATAAATTACACCTCAATAAAAAAAAACTAATAAATAAAATGTGAAACTGCAAGCTTGATAGGATTAGGGAGACCACCACCTAGCTCTTTAAAAAATGTAAGTGAATTTTGCATGGAGGTTCACAATGTCCATGATACTTATGTATCTTAGTGTAGCACCAGCACGTGACAGTAGAATTTCATATGCTAATTAAATGAAAAATAGTTTTTAAAAAATGCTCTCTCTTAATTATGCTGGCAAAATTGATAATCTTTCCAATTTCTTCAGTTCGTAGATTCTGCATCAGTATGCTATTTTATTTGTATCTCTTTTCTACTTTGTCCTACTTTCTTAGATTCAAGTATATAAAAAGGAGACTCAGGGTATCACCAGCTCTGGCTTTGCATCTTTGACGTTTGAGGGAACTTTGGGAGCCCCTATCATACCTCGCACTTCAAGCAAGTATTTTAACTTCACTACTGAGGACCACAAAATGGTAGAAACCTTACGTGTTTGGGCATCTACTCATATGTCACCATCTTGGACATTACTAAAATTGTGTGATGTGCAGCCAATGCAGTATTTTGACCTGACTTGTCAGCTCTTGGGCAAAGCAGAAGTGGACGGAGCATCATTTCTTCTAAAGGTACATATTTTTTAATACTGGGAATTATAAGTTAGCACCACTTACATGTCTGTAAAGAGCTTATGTTTCAGCTTTCTGATGAGACAAATATGCATACTGTGTATTATATTAGGAACTTAAATTTTAACTATTTTTGATGAGCTTTGATATTCATGCAGCTCCACTCTTGTACCTCTCTAAAATTTTGCACTTTCCTTCCTGTTTTACACTTTCCTTCCAGTGTTATCAGATCTACATGTTAAATATAGTATGACTTATGCATTTTTTAATTTTAGTAGTAATAATATGTAGACTTGTTTTCTATTATTTCATAGTTTGTAGTCCTATACATGAATATTTCTGTTTCCCTGTCAAGGTCACCTTCCCTCTCATTTATTTACTTTTTTGTCCCCTTGATGTTGGGTTCTCTTCTTATGTCTTTCACTGCCTACTTCATACTGTGGATAGTTTTGAAGCATTTTGTATTACTGTGTTTTGCTTTTAAATCAGCAAGATAAAAAAGTAACTTAAGACCCATCAAATCTCTGTTTACACCTATCCCAGTTTAGAGAATAACTTTTGGAGAAGCTGAATGTCTGTGTTTCTTGCCTGGACATCCTATGGAGGATACATTTAAACAAATGCCTCTTCAGGCCTGCTCCTATGGTTATTTCTCGATACTCTCTTTGGAATAATAGGGCAAGAAATGGAGTGCAGTGGCACTTGGACAAGTCTTGGGGTTTAGCATTATCGTTTATACCTTGCCCATATTAAAGAACAGAGAAGTTAGCAATCATTGAATAAAATATAAAGTTCTAGCAGTTGAAAATAGCACATTCATATATACATGGAATACTATGAAAAAGTTGTAAATATATGCCACACAGAAAGTTAAATAAGTCAAATATGATAAAGCTGAAACTAAAGCAATATAAAATCAAACAAAGTTAGAATGAATCTTAGGTCAGCCAGTCATACTCTCTGGCAAAAGTGACGTTCTTAACAAATGAGCATTTGCTAACAACTGAACACTTCCTATGGCAAGGACTCTACTACTATGCAGTGAGGAATATTCTATCTTTTGACTGTGTTTTTAGAAAATTCTTAAATTCTAAGATAAAATGTGCCAAATTTTGGCTGAAATAGTTGAGTCTACATTTCCTCTCTACAGAAACACAACATATACCTGCATCCCATTGTAATAGATAACTTTTTTGGACAAGTGAAAACAACTGTCATGTAAGTGTTAGTTTAAAATATACACTGAAAAGTCAATAAAGAGCCCAAGAGCCCGTATACCCAAAACAATCCTAGGCAAAAAGAACAAAGCTAGAGGCATCAGGCTGCCTGGCTTCAACCTATACTACAAGGCTACAAAAACCATAAAAGCATTGTACTGCTACCAAAACAGATATATAGACCAATGGAACAGAACAGAGGCCTCAGAAATAACACCGCACATCTATAATCATCTGATCTTTGACAAACCTGACAAAAACAAGCGATGGGGAAAGGATTCCCTATTTAATAAAGTGGTGTTGGGAAAACTGGCTAGCCATATGCAGAAAACTGAAACTGGACCCCTTCCTCACACCTTATACAAAAATTAACTCACGATGGGTTAAAGACTTAAACGTAAGCCCTGAAACCATAAAAACCCTAGAAGAAAACCTAGGCAATACCATTCAGGACATAGGCATGGGCAAAGACTTCATGACTAAAACACCAAAAGCAATGACAACAAAAGCCAAAATTGACAAATGGATCTAGTTAAGTTAAAGAGCTTCTGCAGAGCCAAAGAAACTATCATCAGAGTGAACAGGCAACCTACAGAATGGGAGAACATTTTTGCAATCTGTCCATCTTTCAAAAGGCTAATAATCGAGAATCTACAAGGAACTTAAACTAATTTACAAGAAAAAAAAAACCCCATTAAAATGTGGGTGAAGGATATGAACAGACACTTCTCAAAAGAAGACCTTTGTGCGGCTAACAGACATAGGAAAAAAAGTTCATAATCACTGGTCATTACAGAAATGCAAATCAAAATCACAATGAGATACCACCTCACACCAGTTAGAATGGCAATCATTAAAAAGTCAGGAAACAACAGGTACTGGAGAGGATGTGGAGAAATGGAAACGCTTTTACACTGTTGGTGGGAGTGTAAATTAGTTCAACCACTGTGGAAGATAGTGTGGCGATTCCTCAAGGATCTATAACCAGAAATACCATTTGTCCCAGCAATCCCATTACTGGGTATATACCCAAAGGATTATAAATCATTCTGCTGTAAAGACACATGCACATGTATGTTTATGGCAGCACTATTCATAGTAGCAAAGACTTGAAACCAACCCAGATGCCCATGAATGGTAGACTGGATTAAGAAAATGTGTCACATACACACCATGAAATACTATGCAGCCAAAAAAAGGATCAGTTGGTATCCTTTGCAGGGACATGGATGAAGCTAGAAACCATCATTCTCAGCCAACTAACACAAAAACAGAAAACCAAACACCGCATGTTCTCACTCATAACTGGGAGTTGAACAATGAGAACACATGGAGACAGGGAGGGGAACATCACACACCAGGGCCTGTTGGCGGGTAGGGGGCTAGGGGAGGGATAGCATTAGGAGAAATACCTAATGTAGATTATGGGTTGATGGGTGCAGCAAGCCAGCATGGCACGTGTATACCTATGTAACAAAGCTGCACATTCTGCACATGTATCCCAAAACTTAAAGTATAATTTAAAAAATGAAAAGAATTAGTAAAAGTGTTTCTTATGACAATTTAAAAGTAAACCTCAAAAGTCTTTTTGTACCCTTCAACTCAGCAATTTTATTTTCATTATCTTAAGGAAATAATTTAAAATATTTATAAAGGTGCACTTAAAAGGATATATTTATCTTTCTTACAGTGTAAAAAATGAGAATACAGTAGAAAAATTAGAGAAAGCCCCAATACTAACAATAGAAAATTGTGTACACTATTTATGTAGGATGACCATAAAATAACATTGTAAATGTCACCATAAAATACTTTGTAACCATAAAATGACATTATAGGCATGTACTTGTTGAGATAGAATTTCATGATAGTCTATTTAGTGATTACTGTAGTTTCGTTTACACACTAAAAATGTATATGTACATAGAAAAATACATTGGGGGGCCTATAAAGCAACATTTTACTATTTTCGTCTCTGGGAAATAGAATTATGAGTGATTTTTTTTTCCATACATTGATTTTCTTATGTATCAGAAATAATTTTTAAATTTTATTTTTTAAAAACAGAGGAGCAAGACATTACTGGAAATAACGTCTAGTTACATATGAAATAGTATAATCATTTTCCATCTCGACCTGGGCACAATATTAATGTTGGTACTTTTTTTACTAACTACAGTGCATTCATTTTAATTTTTCAGTAGCCATGGTACACCAATCATTTGTGTTAAATATAATTCAATAAATTTGTTGATCTGACATCATTCCACATTTTTCTCTATTCTATTAATAGTATATAAATTATTTTTCTGAACAGTACTCTCAAATTGAATTTTCTCTAAGTATATATATTCTATTTGTTTTAGTATCTACAGTATTGGTGCAGCCTTATCTTTTGTGTTTTATGTTTTTTTGTTTTTTTTTTTTAAATAAATAACCAGGCATCATTTATAGCCAGAGCTGGTAGGTAGTTTGTATGTCTCATCTGTAGTATGGTTTGGAGAACAAAAAGCATAATGTGAATCAGAAAATCATCATATAAAGGAAATTATTCAAATTTACAACATTTACTTCTTTGTATGGAAACATCAGAATAATGCTTTACAACTAATTTAAGAATGAGACTGAATCTCATAGAAATAATGTGATTAATGTCAAAGAAATGTATTACTTTTATAATTTTTAGAACATTTGTAATTTTACTAGTTGTATTTATATGCAAAAATGTTTTAATACATATGAGTGTTTTTCAAGACCATTTTGGTTTGTTTTTATTGTATAAAGCATTTGACTCAGGAATATTTAGTCTGGGCTTATGGCAGTGTGACTCTTTTTCTTCTTTACATTCTTCTACATTTTCCATATTACCCATATTTCATATGTAGTTCTTTTACAATCAGAAAATATTGTCATATTTAAAATAGTGCCAATATTCAGAGGCATACGTTTAATTACTTTTAAGTACTATTACCAGGAAAAAACTTTTTAGCACAAACATTTTTTCGAAAGGATCATAAAACTACTCTACTTTCTTATGGCAGGTATGGGATGGCACCAGGACGCCATTTCCATCTTGGAGAGTCTTAATACAAGACCTTGTTCTTGAAGGTGATTTAAGTCACATCCATCGGCTACAAAATCTGACAATAGACATTTTAGTCTACGATAACCATGTTCATGTGGCAAGATCTCTGAAGGTGATGTTGAGTAGGAAAATATTTTATGTTTTTATAAATTATAGTGATTTTTGCTCATGTAAAATTTTTATATATGGTTACATGTATAGGTGATAAAGTCTAGAAATTATATTTATTTCTTTGATTTTTAAGTTGTAAAATGTATGTTACAATAAATTATTAAAAGATGAATTTAATGGGTTAGAGCAATTTTTAAAATAATCTTTCTTAAATATCTTAAAGGTATACATAATTTTACTGTGAAAATAGTACAGAAAAATTTTGTCGTGTGAGATAATACTGCTTTAGAATGACAAATGCTATATAAAATATTGCTAACTTAAAGACTAAGCTTGATAAACTGGTTTGATAGAATGTAGCTGATAACTTTTTGTTCATTAGTTTAACAAATTGTTCAATTACCTCTAATGTATATTATAAATTGGGTATGTGTGTATAGTGTGCAATTTATAGAATTTGCGTGCTTTCTTTTGAAATATATTAAGGTGCACAGTTTAGATATGGCAGTACTTAACTATTAAAAATTATAGGAAATTTTTTTTCTGTATTATATCTTTTATTTGAAAGTACTTTTTGTAGTAAAGAATGATATGATAAATAATAATACAATAATAAGAGTAACCTTTGCTAGGCATTTCATATGCATTTGGTACTCTCTGATAAGATAGGTGATGATAGTCATCTCATTCTACAAATGTGAAATGAGGCACTCAGAGGTTGAATCAGTGGTTCAAGATTCTACAGCTAGTTGGATTGAAGCAGGGTATTTCCCTGACCCCTTCATGGGCGGGAACTGGAGTGCATGGGTGCTGGAACTAGCCAGCCACTTCAGTGCTGGCAGGGGAGAGCTCCACTCACTCAGACCACAGGAGTGGGAGCATGCAGGTGAGCAGGTGCAGGAGCCAGGGCAAGGGCTTTTGGGCACGGGCAGAAGCAAACTCTGTACTGGCCCTACAGCAGCATCTGAGAGGGTGCCGGTGACCCCTGAAGCCCCAGAGGAAGTGTTACAGTACTGTTTTAGCTCTGCTGTCCATGGACAGCCTACGTGTTAACAACTCAGTGGAGGGTAACTGTGACTGCCTTTCACCCCACACTTGTGGCACCCGAGCTCTTGTCTAGCATCTGGGAGGAATGAGGTCTCAAGAATAAATTGAAGATGGTAAATGCAGGGGATTATATTACTGATGGAAGTGGCTCAGTGGAAAGGGGAGGTGACAAGGGGATGGAGCAGGAAGGTAGTCTTACCCTGAAGTCTAGCCCTCTAGGGCCAGATTCTTCTCCCAGGTTACACCATCAGGCTGTCCCTCTGAAGTCAAGCTGCTTCTCTCTGACATCCAGCCATAGTCTCTGATGGCCAGCTGCCTCTCTTCCCTCTGCTGGCTGAGCCTGGGGTTTTTATGGGCACAGGATGGCAGGTGGGATAGGCCATGGGTAGTTTTGGAAAAGGCAACATTTGAGCAGGAAAACAGGGATGTAAATTCTCACTTTGGGCCGTGGTATCAGGCTTTTCAGCTTGAGAGCAGGGTCCTTGCTGGAGATCTGCCCTCTTCTACCTAGAATTTCCCTGCCTCCTGTTCCTGTATGGATGAAGCCAGTGTTTGAATCCACAATGTCTCTTTGCAGAGCTAATCCTTTAAAGCATTAAATGGAAGGGATCTACATCACAAATATCTTCTAGTCTACTTACAGGAAGTTAAAAGAAGAGTGAAGACCTGAATTTCAGTGCCCAATTTGCCTTTATAAATGAGTGGCCATGGAGTGGCAAATATATCCATTCTACATTGTATTACAAATAAGTTCACCATCAACACTGTTCTGGGTTACAGAAAAAATAATAATAATAAACCAAAACAACAACAAAACAAGTTTATCCAACTCAAATCAATAAATTAGATTAAATCCAGGGTCCAGGAAGATAGTGACTGTATTTTGTCCTCTGTTCCTCTGTAAGTGTATATATATGCATGCACATACCTCTGTGACATGTCAGAAAACACTAACTGTTGAGGATATATTTTTGACATTATTTCCCTGAAAGATATTATCTACATTGATTAGTTTATTTCAAAATTAAATATAATGATAAGTTCAGTTCTGGAGGTTTTTTCATATAGTTCTTTCATAAACAAAATGAATTTACATTTTAGATTCACCTTGGTTCCACACTCTACGTACCTTCTTTTGCCATTTAAGTCTCTTCTCTTTCCCTATACTGCTTCCAAACATAGGTCTTCCAACATAGGTCTTTCTGTTTCCGCTTTTCCTGCTTTTCTTGTCTTAGTCCTGAACAGCACTTGTCACAGTGCTTTCCCCCTAGTGAGGATGAAGTAAGTAATAGCTGCTGCTGCTGAATGAATGAATCTGTGAATGCTGTGGATTTTTTTTCCAGATTCTTTTTTCCTTTTTTATGGTCTGCTGTATTTTGCCCACTAGAGGGTGATATGAGCACACATAATTAAGAAAATATATGGCATTGTGTTTTCTGTAAAGATATCATGGCATCATATTACTTGTCTGCAATGCAATATAAAAATGAAAATGATTTTTCTCTGTGTACATAATATAACTTTAGATTTTTATTTAATACACATTGACATCACATTTATTTGTTTTCTGACAACCTCTGTAACATTTCTTCTTGATTTAGGAACTCTTCACTCACATAACATTGATATAAATGAATTCTTCTTGGTACTTTCAAGACAACTGTTTAAAATTACATTTTTATATAAAAATACCTGGAACCAGTGCGAAAGACTTTTGTTGTATAGGAGCAGGAAAAAATGTGTTTTTATTTTAATAAAGAGGACAATGTAAGGCAATTATAGGATATAATACAATCAACATCTACAAGCAATACATTTTAGAGCCTGAATTGCCCTTAACTATTTTCTGAATCTCGCTTTTTGTTATGTCATTCCCTTAAACATTTTACACAGATCCAGTCACGTAAACTGAGATTTCAAATATTTTGTCTAGAAACTAAGGCTTTACTTTCTAAATCCCTACTCTTAACCAGAGACAATTGTTAATTATAAAATATACATGGTCATAATTATGTTTTGGCCTTCAGTAGTTCAACAACTGTGATTTGATTGGCTATTTTGAGATATATTCAGGAAATTAAAAATAATAAACCTAAAGAGAAATTCTTGACAGTTTATAGGAATCGTTTGATTATTTCTAAAGGGATAGTCTTTTTTACTAGCCATATTTACATTGCCTTTTTTTTTTTTTTTTTTTTTTTAGTGTTTCTGTATTTAAATAGACATCTATCATCATTTTTTAAACTATATTTTTATAATTTTTTGGTTGATGTTTCGTTTGTATTTTTGGAATCTTAGTACTGACGAGATTAACCAATACTTGTTTTTTATAATAGAGCATCTGGCACATTTCGTAGTATTTTTAGTCAAGCTTGTAAAAAAATACAATGCTGCCTCCATAAGGAATTTTTGATAATAACAACTTATCTTTATGTGAATAACTTGTATCTTGGCCTCAAAATTTTGTTATATTAAAAAATACTGTAGTAGACAAGATAGTATAATAAACACCTGTGTGTTCACCTTATTTTTAAATGTTTTGCCGTATTTATTTCAGACACTTTTAAGTTTTAGGAAATAAAACTCTATGCATCAAACCTTTGAGCCCCTGCCTGCTCTGGTGTTTTGTTTTGTTTTGTTTTGTTTTGCTCCCCAAGTCCCTCTCTATGTCTCCATATATAGGTTTGTATGTACACCTATGTTTATTATCCTTTTTCTTTATGTATTTTTTGATAGGGTAAAGCCCCTCTCTCATATTCTTTAGAATTGATTTGACTAGTCTCTTTTGTATATGTTTTTGGATTAGCTTTTCAGATTCCATGAAAGCTTCTGGGAATTTTGATTGAATTGCATAGAATTTAATATTTAATTTGGAGGAAATTATCATTTTTGTAGTATCAAAGTTTTTTGTATATGAATGTCTTTCTCCATATGTTTAGGCCTTCTTTCAAATTCTTTGTAGATCATACATACATGTGTTATACTAATATATTTATATATACATATATGCACACACATATTTTAAAAGAATCACAAAATAAGTCAAAAAGAATGAGATAAAACTAGAAATTTTTATGTTTTTTCCAATAACTCACTTTGAAGACTACGAGGAAAATTAGTTTTTTCTTTTTGTGCTTTTCTTCTTTAACTTTCTTTATACTACTCCCTGGCTATGATACAGATGTCAGCGAAAGAGGTCAAAGAAAAGGCTTGTATCTTATCTGGTCCTCATAAAACCCATGATTGGATGGGAAAAGAGATCCTCAGGAATGAAGGAGTAGCACCCGGGAGAGTGGGTTTTCTCCTTACCTCCTTTGCTGATATCCTCTATCAGAAATAAAGAGTAATGAGGGGAAATAAAACTAAGAGAAGCTACAATAAGCAGAATTGGGAAGTTGATTTGCTACTCATCTTTTTTTTTTTTTTTAAATGTTTCCCTTTATAGGATTGAGCCTCCATGTTCTAAAAGTCCAGAATTCTAAATGCAAACCTTTTTGAGTGCCAGTATAAGATTATTCAGTGTACAAAAACTTTGTGTCATGCACAAAATAATTGAAAATATTATAGAAAATTACCTTCAGGTTATGTGTATGACATATATGTGAAACATAAATGAATTTCATGTTTAGACTTGGGTCTCATCCCTAAGATATCTCATTATGTATATGCAGATATTCCAAAATCCGTAAACATCTGAAATCTGAAACACTTCTGGTTTCAAGTATTTCAGATAAAGAATATTTAACCTATATTGCTTTTTTTTTGTTATTTAAGATGTCTGTTATTCAATCCTGAACTTGTGGGGGAAAAAAAAAGTGGTATCCCTGTAGTCACCCAATAGTCAGGAGTGCTATTTTTATACAAATGAATTAAATTTCCTTGTTTGTAACTCCTTTTGCTTCTAAATCTTTCTTCATAAATATAAATGTGATTTAGGTTATATAGCTTCTTTTAGGTAGGTGTCAATATCTTTGAATAACATTCTGCATCTCTCATTTGACATCTCCATTAAAAGAAAAATCTCAGTGGTCTATAATTAAAGACATTTGTAGACTAAGTTTAACAAAACATCTGAGATTAACAATAGAACATTTATTTCAAAACTCTGATAACTCATGTTTGAACTCACAGAGTGTTTCATACTGTGGTGGTGCAGGCACAAATGCAAAAGTTTTCTTTCCATAGAACTTGTAAGATGGAAGATGTTTATTATTTTTTGATAGTACCACATTTAAAATTGCTTCTTAGTAGTCTCATAATAGCAGTATCTTAGGGATCATATTTAATTAAGCCTTAAACTGGTTAAAGCAAGGCATTTTCAGAAACCTTAGTCAAATAGAGGGCTTGAATTCCATTTAGGTAATGCGTTTCTTAACCATTATAATTTTATTGATGCTAAGACACATTTTTTTTTTCCACATTTTAATATGTCTGAAATGAAAATATCTCTTACAGTTGAATGTGTGTGTATATGTATGTGTGTGCATACATGCTTAAGCATGCATATGTCCATATATTTAGTTTTGATACAGTTTCCATGCAGCTGTTAGTCAGCCATACTCGTATAGCATACTTTGCAGATACTTTAGTATATTTCCTGATTGGTCAGTGCCCTCATTGCCCCATATTGGTTATTAAAGTTTTATTTTCCCTGCTTTCTAAATAACAAATGATCTATTTTTAGGTTGGAAGCTTTCTTAGAATCTATAGCCTTCATACCAAACTTCAATCAATGAATTCAGAGAATCAGACAATGTTAAGTTTAGAGTTTCATCTTCATGGAGGTACCAGTTATGGTCGGGGAATCAGAGTCTTGCCAGAAAGTAACTCTGATGTGGATCAACTGAAAAAGTAAGCTTTTAATTTTTAGAAAATGTAAATAAGGTATTGATTAAGCCGATTTCTAAGATAATATTGTTCCTGGGGTTTCTGATAGGTTCCCTAGACTTTTGTGCCATTCGCCATGTTTTTAAACAGATGAGCCGAATGAAACAAATCAAATGATTACAGGCTCATATAGCTAAGTAGTAGCAGAGCCAGGGTTATAGCTGAAGTTTTCCAACTGTTAGAATCTGGATTTTAGGCTCTTGCTTCTTTTCTATCATTTACCGCACTCTGCAAGTACAGCAACATACAGTGGAAACTAGACCTTAGCTAAAGTTTAGAAAATTTGATACATATCTTAAGATTCCAAAAATATTTTATTCTTTCATGAAAAAAATATATTTCTGAAGTGCCACTGATTAAATAGATAACACATGTTTTGGTGTATCACTTTCTTTTAAACTTTTTAAAAACATTTTAAAAACTTTTACATGTGCCAGAAAGTAAATAGTATCTTAAACCTGCTATATGTTTAGATCTCTTTTTCCCAAGGTATTCCTAGCGAGTATAGTTTGGTCAATATTCTAGAAATTTAAAAAGTCTTCATATCTTCAAAGAGAAAACATACTGTTCAGTAAATTTAAATAAATTTTGTCTAAATTTTAATTCATTGAAATCAGTGTGACTTTAAATTAGCTTCTGTTTTATTACTTTTATATCAGTTTCACTGATTTTAATATCATTGCCATATATAGCAACATAGTATTTAGCTTCTTGAATCTAGAGTTAGATTGTTCTGACCCAGAATGCCATCCGTTAAATTCCCAGTTTATTTTTGTTTGTATTATTTCGTCATTGCCCTGTTTCACTTGTATCTTTCTAAACTCAGCTTTTTAATTTGAACCCTCAGAAAATCTGATGAAAGCAACAGATCCTTTACTGAAGAATGTTTATACACACAAAATTTTATATACAATATCAATGAATTTCTGGATTTTGTGGGTACAGCTAAATTTACTATATTGACTTTGTTTTATGCAATTTGAAATTGTATTCTTTCAATTATAGGGATTTAGAATCTGCAAATTTGACAGCCAATCAGCATTCAGATGTTATCTGTCAATCAGAACCTGATGACAGCTTTCCAAGTAAGGACAACCTTTAACATTGACTGTTTAGTTCTTGCTGAATAAAATAGCTTTATCAACATAATTATTTTTAATGTCTTCTCTTTGTCTCTCTTATTAAAAATTTCATGTAGTAAAGGAACATACTAAAATCTTTATCTGTATCCTATGCCAAAAAGTAAACATGGTTTCTTCCTAAATTATGTAATTACATTTTCAAATTGGGTGGTAGTGATTACTTGATTATGATATATATATAACATGTGTTTGTATTCACAAGAAAATCTATATTGATTTCGTAGACAACTATTTTGCTTGTCAGTTTTTAAGGGGAACAAAGATTGTTTTTGCCACTTATTTCACATGGCCCAAATACTTTTTGCTCATACATATGTTAGATGTATACATAGTTTCTAGTCTTTATTGAATTAAGCAGGTATCTAAATACAAAATATTAACAAACAGTGGAATATGTCCTTCTAATATTGTCTACTTGAATAGATGACTAGTCAAATCTGAACTTGAAAGCTTTCAGTGTGCATTGCTTTTTCCTTTACCACTTTGTCTTAATTTCTGGGTTTTTGTTTGTTTAAGAGACATTGTCTTGCTCTGGCGACCAGGCTGGAATGCAGTGGCAGGATCATAGCTCACTGCAGCTTCAAACTCCTGGGCTCAAGCGATATCCTCCTGCCTCAGCCTCCTGAGTAGCAAGGACTTGTAGTCCTGCACATGCCAACACGCCTGGCTTTTTTTACTCTTTTAATTTTTTATTTTTGGTAGAAACAGGATCTCACTATATATTGTCCAGGCTTGTCTCAACCTCCTGGTCTCCTGGTCTCAAGCAGTCCTCCTGCCTTAGCCTCCCAAAATTCTGGAATTACAGGTGTGAGCCACCACGCCTGGCCTGTCTGAATTTCTACATCTGCATTTTGGGACCTGGAATCTAGGTCACATTTCTTTGTTTTTGTTTTGTTTTTTTTTTTGTTTTTGTTTTATTTTCTACCTAACCTCCTACCTTGCTGTGATCCAAAAAATCGTTTTATGAGATTTATTCTCTTTCCATCCCAATAATGATAAGCATGAAAATTAACATACATTTCTTGGTAGGCATGTAAGTGCCTGCAGGCATTATTATTTAATTATTTTGTTTGTTTATTTGTGTGTTTTTTGAGATGGAGTTTTGCTGTGTCACCCAGGCTGGAGTGAGGTGGCGCGATCTCGGCTCACTGCAAGCTCCGCCTCCTGGGTTCACGCCATTCTCCTGCCTCAGCCTCCCGAGTAGAAGCTGGGACTACAGGCACCCGCCACTGCACCCAGCTAATTTTTTTTTTTCTTTTAGTAGAGACGGGGTTTCACCATGTTAGGCAGGATGGTCTCGATCTCCTGACCTCGTGATCCACCTGCCTTGGCCTCCCAAAGTACTGGGATTACAGGCGTGGGCCACAGCACCCAGCCGCATTATTATTTAATTCTAACAGCACTCCTATGAGATGAATTATTCTGTCTCCCTTTAACAATGGGAAACTGAGGCTTCGATGGATGGATATCATATAATTTGTCCACGGTTACTTAGCTGTTAACTGATGATAAAGCAACACAAATTCAAATGCAGGCTTTTTGATTTTTTTGTGTGTACTTTACATTTATTTTCTTCATTCTCTCTGTTTTAAAACTCTACTCATTTTAAAATGCTAACACCTTCGTGATAACATTGTGGCCTAGTGTATGATTACTTGAACTACCATGAGGAAACCGATTTAGTTCAAATGACAATCACTTGGAGACAATATAATTTGTAATTATACTTTTTACAATCTCTTTTTCCTTTTAGAATTATTCTTTCATTATTTTTAAAGTACACTGTAATAGGTGTTATAATATCTAGTTGAATAGCTTTCACTATGCCTTTATTCCCTACTCCCTGAGGTAAGATTTAACAGTTTAGTGTGATTCCTTCAATCACTTCATCTTTATACAAACATATATACCTATACATAAACAATATGACTCTTCTCTTTTTCTTAAATTTTTACCAAAATGAAATCACACTATAATAAATAGTTGCTTTCTTCAACAATATATTATAGATCTTTTTTTCTGGGCTAATTCGTAAGACTCAAATTCATTATAGTTGCATAGTAATAATGTTACACTTTTTTCATTTTTCATTTAATAGATGTTGAGATCTTTACCAGTTTTTTGCTGTTATAAATAATACTTTAATAAACATCCTTGAATATATGTGCTTCCATATTTGTACTTCTCCACAATAAACTCCTAAAAGTGAGGTTGATATATCTAAGGGTATGCATGTCTTTTAATAGATGCTGCCTGATTATTTACCAAAGGTCATAGGAGTTTATATCCAAATAGCAGTATAGAAGAATGTACTTTCCTCACACCTTCACAGTATTGGAATTTAACATTATATGTAATTTTTGACAGTTCAGCAGGTGAAACGCATTTTCTTACTTAATTTTCCTGACTAGAAACTTGAAAATCTTATTATATATTTACGAATGTTTTTAATTACCTCTTCCTCAGATTATTTGCTCTTACCCTTTATCTGATTTTCTGTTGAATTATATTTTTGTCAGTTTGTGGGCAACCATGTATGTTTTACACATTTTCGTATTTGACTACTTTTATGGTTTCTGCCATTGTTTCCATCTCGTGTTGTAATGGCTAATATTAATTACTGAATTAGATTTATTGAAATTATACCATGCCAGCTTGAGATGTTCATTCAAGTCCTCTTGACTTGGATTTTTATACCACTTATTAACAATACTGAGGATATGTTTGTGTGTAATGCTTTATAAAATAAATTATAAAAACATAATATACTGTTATATATAATAGAATGTAAGCTAAAGTGATTACAAAATACAGATTTTTAAAGTCTTAAATTCTTCTTTTTAGAAAGCATTTTGTAACCTAAATGCTATGACTACTACTTTTGCTTTCTTGTTAAAGTCCTATTTTTTATGTTCATTTGGTCATTCTATTAAATTTCATAAGTTTACCATTTTATCCATCTCCCCTTTTATTTCCTCTACACTGTATTTTTTCAACATAATAAAGACTTTCATACATGATAGAGTTAAAACAGTTGTACAATGAATACCTACCAGCTAGACTCTCCAATAACTATTTTACTTTGTTTGCTCCATCACATGTGCATTTATTTCTATATGCCTCTTTTTTTTTTCTTTTGAGATGGAATCTTGCTCCGTCCTCCATGCTGGAGGTCAATGGCACGATCTCAGCTCACTGCAGCCTCTGCCTCCTGAGTTCAAGCTTCTCCTGCCTCAGCCTCCCAAGTAGCTGGGATTACAGGTGCCTGCCACCATGCCCAGCTAATTTTTGTATTTTTAGTAGAGACAAGGTTTCACCATGTTGGCCAGGCTGGTCTCGAACTCCTGACCTTAGGTAATCCACCCGCCTCAGCCTCCCAAAGTGCTGGGATTACAGGTGTGAGCCACCGCGCCTGGCTTATATGCCTCTTCATTCATTAATTTATATTTTTTACACATTTCAAAGTAAGTTGCAGACATAAGTACATTTTCTAAACACCGTGGCATGAACATAATTAGCTAGAGTTGAGAATTTAGAGTTTTTTGTTTTTGAGGTAAAATTAGCAGTGAAATGGACAACTTTCCATTTTATGAACCACTCCATGAGTTTTGACTAATACATAAACGTGTAACCTAAATCCCTCTAGATTTGCAGTTCTAGAACTTTGAAAAAATTGAATCATATGTATCCTTTTTTACATACTATATGTTTTTGAGATTTAATCACATTGTTGCATATATCACTAGTTTGGTTCCTTTTTAATGCCACATGATATGTGGTAGACATTTTTTCTTTAGATAGGAATTTCTAGTTGTTATGGCATCATTTGTTTTCTTTTTCCTGTTAGATGACTTCAATGTCTTTGTCAGAAGTCAAGCGAGTATAAATGTGGGCTTCTGTCTAGTCGTCCCATTCAATGCTTACTAGTTTAGTGTGAAGTATGCATTTTCCCCATACTAAATTTTCAATTATTGCATCACCTTTTGCATTCTCCTTGCATTGCTTTGCTGCTTTAGTAAAAAATCAAAATACAGTGTAAATGTGGGTTTATTTCCAGGCTCTCTATTTAATTTAATTCAGTTGATCTATTTTTCAATCCTCATGGCAGTATTATGTTGTCTTAAATTACTGTAAGTTTATAGTAAGTCTTGAAGTTATGTACATTGTTCTCCAACTTTGTTCTTATTTTTTAAAATGTTATTTAATATTCTAGATTTTCTGCACTTCCACATAAGTGATAGCATCTGCTTTGCAATTTCTGCAGTAAAGCCTCTGCTGTTTGTTTGTTTATTGTTGTTGTTTTGAGGCAGAGTCTCGTTCTCTTGCCCAGGCTGGAGTGCAGTGGCACAATCTGAGCTCACTGCATCCTTCGCTCCTGGGTTCAAGTGATTCTCGTGCCTCAGCCTCCTGAGTAGCTGGGATTACAGACATCTGCACCACACTTGGCTAATTTCTGTATTTATAGTAGAGAAGGGATTTCACCATGTTGACCAAGCTGGTCTCTAATGCCTGACCTCAAGTGATCCACCCACCTCAGTCTCCCGAAGTGTTGGGATTATAGGCGTGAGCCACTCTGCCCACCCCAGTCTCTGCTATTTTGAAAGGATTATACTGAATCTACAGATTAATTTGGAGAGAATTGATAACTTAATATTGAGCCTTTTAAATCATGAGTGTGACATATCTCACCATTCATTTGTATTTTCTGCAGTTTCTCTCAGCAATGCTCTACTGTTTTCAGTTCTACGTTGAAGTTGTAATGGGCTTAATTCTTTTGCCTTTTCCTTTTTATAGGCTCTGGATCAGTATCATTGTACGAGGTAGAAAGATGTCAACAGCTATCTGCTACAAGTAAGACCATGTATCGTTTTTGATATGGGCACAGTAATGAGCGTAATAAAGTCTGCCTCTACACTTACCAACTAATCCATTTCTTTCTAATAGTAGAACATATATCCTTTAAAGCTAAAATATGTCCATATTTAACTTTCTTCTTCTACCGTGTGCCATTGGCACAAAACGGAACCCATAAAGATACGAGTCTTTACATTGCATATTTTAAGTCATGTATCTCTAACAGACTTAACGTTTAAAACAGATATATATTTTAAGCATTAAATACATGACGTATTTTAAGTCATGTATCTCTGTTAGAGTTACATGACTTAAAATATGCAATGTAAAGACACGTATCTTTAAACTGTTATACGAAAAGTTATCCTGTCACATGATGCATTAAACAGTGTACCATAAAGGAGCTCCTTGCAATATGCCTCAAAATTTTAATTTAATGTTAGTAATGATAGTGTGTCTATCAAGTACCCTCCTTTTGTTACATCAGCTAATTAATACAATTTTCAGAAAAATATTTTTAAGCACAAATTTATTAAATTTTAATTTCTCAAATTGGAGGAAGAAGATACAAATATGAATGGGAAAAGGATTGATGAATGCTTTTAATGTTGTGTTGTAATTGGAAGTGCCATCATGTACCCATGTTTTCTAGGTAAATACAGAAATAGATGTAGCTGTGTGTATGTATAATACATATATATTCACATACATACACTTTTGTTTATATTATAGGGGTGTGTGTGTGTGTGTCAGTATGAATGTGTGTTCACATATACCCTATCTCTCTCTCCATGAAGAGTCATACAGGCAGCAGCACTCCAGTTGCCATAAGCAAACCTAGTGCACAGATCTTGGTTTATAAATAATATTTCTCTCTAAAGGAATCAGAGCTCCTTGGTGAAAGAGCAGATTTCAGAACCAGAACAGGGGAATTACAGAATTAGTATGGAGTAACCTTATAGTACTAGAAAGTAAGGAGGTTCTCAGTTAATGATGAAACTGGTCAAATGGCTTAGGATAGAACATGTCTAATCTGGGAACATTTGAGCATCAAAACAAATAAGATTAATACTAATTGAGTAAAGCAGGAATGCATGAGCCCATGTTGATGATGATAAAGGAAAAATAAAATATATGGGGTTAAGTGGAAATATCTTTATTAAAGTAAAATAACAAATATGAAAGGAATGATGAAATTAAAAAAAAAAAAGTCACCATTTTGTAACCATGATAGTCATTGTTGAGTTAGTTATGAATCTGTGGATTCTAAACTATCAAGATATATGATGAAAAATAAGATATTTACATTTTATCTAGTATATTCTTGTTAAATGCAAGGGGGAAACAGTAAGTTTTTAGTAGAGAAGTGATTGGACACCACCTTTACCAGGTGAATAAAGTTTAGGTCTACAGTAATAGAAACACTCACTTTGTATGCCCCTTGATGTGATACACTGAGAAACAGACAGTAGCACGTATGCATTATGCCAGCCAAAAATGCGTAAGCTAAACCTGAGCCTGAAGAAGAACCAGATACACCCAATTTGGTGTTTATTCTACAGAGTAAATAGCTGTGCAAATATATCAGTGTCGTGAAAGATAAAGAAAAACTGAGGATTTATTTTACATTAAAGAAGTCTAAAGAGACATGAGAATGAAATGTAATACATGGTCCAGAATTGGATCTTAGACTTGAAAACAAAATAAATGCTACGAAGAACATTTTGAGGACAATTGTAGAAATTTGAGTAATGTTTGTTAATTTGATTATAGTAATAAATCAGTTAAATGTTCTAATGTTGAAAATTACCTGTAATTATGTCAATAAAATGTCTTCTTTTCAAATACATACTGGAGGATTTAGAGAAAAGGAGGCATAATGTCTGGTAGTTATTCTCAAATGATTCAATAATATTTACCTGTTGAGAGAGATAAAGACAGACACGGTGACAACGATAAATGTGCAAAAATGTTAACAGTTGGTGAATCTTGGTGAAGATTATACAGAAGGTCTTTGTATTGTTTTTACAATTTTCCTTAAGTTTGAAAGCATTTTAAAATGAAAAGTTAAAAACTTTAGGTTAAAATATGAGTTTGAAGCAGTTGCTCTTATCACTGTGTAGCAATTTACACTAAATTGATCAGGTCTGCCAATGGTCTTTTTAAAACAATCGCCAGCCGAGCGTGGTGGCTCACGCCTGTAGTCCCAGCACTTTGGGAGGCCGAGGCGTGCAGATCACCCGAGGACGGGAGTTCGAGGCCAACCTGACCAACATGGAGAAACCCTGTCTCTACTAGAAGTACAAAAATTAGCTGGGCGTGGTGGCGCATGCCTGTAATCCCAGTTACTTAGGAGGCTAAGGCAGAAGGCTCACTTGAATCCGGGAGATAGAGGTTGTGGTGAGCAGAGATCACACCATTGCACTCCAGCCTGGGCAACAAGAGCGAAACTCCATCTCCCAAAAAAAAAAAAAAAATCGCCACCACAACAAAATGTTCCACTGTAAACTCTTGGCCATTTGCTCCTTGAAGGAAAACTAATTCAACAAGAATTTCACTGAATTAAAGCTGAAAGGAATTGTCTTTGCCATTGAGGTTAATAAGATGTGTACATCATTTTCATTTTCTAAAACACATGAAAGTGTTAAGCTAGAATGTATAGCAAGCTGTTGCCTTAAGCTGAGGGTCACCAGCAGTTTTATACTTTTTTTCATTAAAAACTGATCACTACAATCCCAGGCCATCTTTCCACAAGTAGCTGAGGAGACCTCTTGTACCTATTTCCCAGGCAGTTGCTCCTAATGCTTTTGTCTGACTTTTTTTTCCAGTTTGATTCAACTTCCTCTTCCTTTTCCTCTTGCTCCTGCTCCACTCTCTCCTTCCAACTCCCCAGACTTCCTCTTCTTCACTACTACACCACTCCCGTGACAGTTATATCACCCTTAATGTCCTTTCCTATTCTTAATCTGATTTTGTAAATGATGGTTCCATAACTAATTTGAAACATCCAAGAGCCTGCAAATAATATTCAGCAAGTGTGTTTTGTTACATTCTTTTGTGGCAGATACCAATTAGAACTTAAACGGTTACCTAGCATATTATTTTCTTAGCTAAATAAACCTTGCTTTTTTTCTGTTAGCCAGATTTCCATTAGTCCCATATAAAAATACTTTTTTGAATGCTTACTAGGCAATTAAGTTATTTCTTCCCCCAAATTATCCAACGTTTATTTAGTACACATTTATTGAGTACCTACTGTGTGCCTGGCACTATGCTAGTGGGCCCTGGATATACATCAGGGAATAAAAACATAACCCTTGCTTTCATGGAGTGACAATAGATCTTAAATTAATTAAATTTTATAGTATATATTTGGTTCAGAAGGATGCATGTCATAAATATGATTCTTGTTATTCTGATTTAATATATAAAAATTCTTTACAGTACTTACAGATCATCAATATTTGGAGAGGACTCCACTGTGTGCCATTTTGAAACAAAAAGCTCCTCAACAATATCGCATCCGAGCAAAATTGAGGTCATATAAGCCCAGAAGACTATTTCAGTCTGTTAAACTTCATTGCCCTAAATGTCATTTACTGTGAGTATTTTCTATAATAAAACAAATGTGCTTTCATATTATTTGTGTATGTGCACATATGTATAATTTTGTGTCTTAGGAATAAGTAAATAGTTAATATATTTTGCAAGAATGGTAAATTTTTTAGGTAAAATGCTAAATTCTTAGAGAATAAATTATTCTGATAGTAATAAAAATGGGTGCTATTTTCAGATCTAAAATTCAGCTTAGTCACTCTGATAAAGGCAAATGAGAAATAATAAATGATTAATATATTTGGGCAGACTCATTTGTCACAAAACTATCTTCTTAAATATAAACCTTTATTAACTGAAATTTTTAGAAAGAGTTGTGATTACTTGAAATATCTAATTAAGTGATACAGAGAGCCTTGTTGGTAAACTTCTGTCCTACTTAATAACTGGAATATAATAAATACAATTTAAATTTTCTTTAGTAATTGAGAATTTCTCAGTGCCTTTACTCTGAACATCAGTGATTATATAAATATGTAATAAATGTGTATAACTGTTTTGTAATCCTTTTACTATGTAATCAGCTTGAGACATATTCTGAAAATCATTTTTAAAAGCTCCTCATCTTTTTGCAATTTGCTTATTTTTTCCTCTGAATATCTAAGATGATGTTTTGGAAAATGTAGATAATTGATGGCTGTATGCATTTGGATGCCATAAATTGAGTTTTCACTAAAATGTGCTATAATGTGTGTGTATGTGTGTGTGTGTGTATATATATATGTACATCACCATGTATTTGTGTGCTTATAAATTGTGAGTATCAGTGTTCATTAATATACATATATTGTCCCTTCCAAAATTTGAGTATAATGCTGTTTAAGAGAATTTTTTATTTTAAAATCTCTTTAAATAAAATGTGAGGGAACAGTTTTTACCCATTTGAGCTTGAAATGGTGGTTGGGATTAAAATGTATATATAAGGATTTTAGATAATTCTTCAAGTATTATCAAATTTTGGTTTATTGAATTTTGTAAAATCATACAGCTTTGTAAAATAAAACCACTCTCTGCAATCATTTTTTAAACAAATAAGGACATTATCTCAGAAATTAACAGAAACTATCTAAAGTTACACAGTTAATTGGCAACAGAACCAGAATAAAACCATACACCTTTTGATTCCAAATGATGCCATTTCTGCTACATGATACTTAACCATATGACTTCTCAAAATTATTAATTATTAAACAGAATTGGAAATATTATTAGTTTAGAGGTGCCCTTTTCCCTAAGTGTGGTTAGTGGATATTTAACTGGAGTGAAGACAGGGGGCCACTGTATTTTTTTTCTCCTACTGGGAAATTTAGCATTCCTTACGGAGGAGAAAAAAATTGATACTAGAAATAATTATAAGTGACTTTGTATCACAAAACCAGGCATGGAAATCACTGGTAATTAATGTAATTATGATTGGGATATACTTACCCACAAAATATCAAATATTTATCTATTGAATATAAGTTATTTGTTCTGCAAAGTGAATTGTCTCCATAATTTAGATAATTTAAGAAAAAGTAACTGACTCATCTGCATATAAGAATGATACTTTTTAATTTGATTACTTGTTAAATTGAAATCTTCAAGCTTATACCAAAATTGATTTTTGTCATTTCATTGCCAATAATTTTAGGCAAGAAGTTCCACGTGAGGGTGATTTGGATATAATTTTGCAGGATGGTGCAACGAAAACTCCAGATGTCAAGCTTCAAAATACAGCATTATATGATTCAAAAATCTGGACCACTAAAAATCAAAAAGGACGAAAAGTAGCAGTTCATTTTGTGAAAAATAATGGTATTCTCCCACTTTCAAATGAATGTCTACTTTTGATAGAAGGTAAGATGTTTAAGTCACTGTTTTGTTAGAATACTCCTTTTCCATATTTTTCCTAATTAATTATTGTTTAATGTATTTTACAGACAACCTGGAACATATAAAGTAAAAATAGTGTTTAAATTTTACAAAATTGAATATATATGTTAACTGGATTCAAATATATATATGCACACGTACATAAATTTATCTTAATTACTTTTGAAATTGTACTTCAGACTCAAGTGTTAACATTTAACTATATTGTTGGATTGCATTTTATTTTGTCAATGCTAACACGACTGTCTAGTTAAGTAATAATAAAAGACTGATTGCTTATGTACCGTTGCTGTTTTATTGGCCTCTGGATGTCACTGTTGTTTCATAGAAATAGGGTGAAAGTCATCTATTGTATCAAAATCAAAGAAGAGACCATTGAAACAAGTAAAGATAACTTGACAAGTTTTAAATGAAATGTATCATGTTTGTTTTTTCATTTTCATCTAATTTTTATCTAATATTTATCTAAAATATGTACTGTAAATTTTTTCTCATGGCAAGTTTACAGTTTTTCTTAAGGCTTTTCTTCCCTTGTAACCTTTTCATTATTTTTCTTAAGGCTTTCCTTCCCTTGTAACTTTTTGTAATAGAAGAAAAATACCTTCTTTAATTTGCATTAGAGTAATATTTAGCTTTGTTTTTAATAAATGAGGGAATTCTGTGTAAATTATAGACTTTGAGTGATTATGTGTCAGTATAGGTTCATTTTTAACAAATGTACCACCCTGGTGGAGGATGTTGATACTGGAGGAGGCTAGCGTGTATGGTAGCAGGGGATATGGAAAATCTCTATACCTTCCTCTTAATTTTGCTGTGAACCTAAAACTGCTCCTTAAAAAAAAAAAAAAAATGAAGTCTTAAAAACAAAACCTAGAATGTACAACACCGAGAGTGAATCCTAATATAGACTGGACTTTGAGTGATAATGGGTTTGTTAGTAATGTAAACTGTGGACTTTGAGTGATAATGATTTGTTACTAATGTAAACTGTGGACTTTGAGTGATAATGGTTTGTTAAAATAGGTTTCTTGATTGACTGAATTTACCACTCTGGTGCAAGATGTCGATAATGGGGAAGAGGCTAGGAGACATAGGGAAACTTTGTACCTTTTGCTTAATTTTGCTGTGAACCTAAAACTTCTTTTTAAAAAGGGCTTATTTTTTTTAAAAATGAGGAAGTATGTAAAAGCACTTTGAAATGTAAAAGGAATATAAGAAATGTGAGCTATTTTTATTTTATATTTCTAAGTATTATAACCTGAGCCAAGGACTAGGATCTTACTGAAGTATGGCACTATTCTAGTTAGGAAGTAACAAAATAAAAAACTGACCTGGACTTAGAGATGAACCAAAGAAAACGATATAAATACGAAGTCTTTCTTAGACTTTAAGCACCTGTAGTAGCATTCACTGATATTCATGCCAAGTTAATGCAGTTGACTCTATTTTATTGTGACCATAGTTTACATTAGGGTTCACTCGTTTTGCTTTACAGTTCTTTATGCTTTGACAAATGCAGAATACCATGTACCCACCATTAGAGTCTCATACAAAACAGTATCAGTTAATTTCTGTAAAAGGTGTAAGATCTGTGTCCAGATTTTTTTTTTGCATGCAGATGTCCAGTTTTCCAGTACCATTTGTTAAAAAGACTGTTCCTTTGCCATTGAATTACCTTTGCTTCTTTGTCAAACCAGTTTATTTTTGTGAATTTGTTTCTGCGTTCTCTGTTCTGTTTTAATCTAGCTATCAGTTATTTTCCCAATATCACACCATTGTTATTTCTAAAGCTATACAGTAATTCTTGAAATTGTATAGTGTTGGTCCTGCAACTTTCTTTATCTTCCGTATTGTGTTGGCTCTTGTAAATCTTTTGCATTTCCATATAAACTTTATAAGCAGTTTGTCAATATCAAAAAATAACTTGCTGGGATTTTTATTAAGATTGCCATCTGGGCGCGGTGGCTCACTCCGGTAATCCTAACATTTTGGGAGGCCGAGGCAGGCAGATCACCTGAGGTTTGGAGTTCGAGACCAGCCTGACCAACATGGAGAAACCCCATCTCTACTAAAAATACAAAATTAGTCCAGCATGGTGGCGCATACCTGTAATCCCAACTACTTAGGAGGCTGAGGCAGTAGAATATCTTGAACCCGGGAGGCGGAGGTTGCGGTGAGCCGAGATCGCGCCGTTGCACTCTAGCCTGGGCAACAAGAGCGAAACTTCATCTCAAAAAAAAAGATTGCCATAAATCTATAAGTCAAGCTGGAGAGGGAGAACTAACATCTTGATATTATTGACAATGAACATGGACTATCTATGTAGATCCTCTTAGATCTCTTTAACTAGGGTTTTATAGTTTTACTCAGATAAATCTTGTAAATCCAACAATATATAGATCACATTTTGTTAGCTTTATACCTCAGTATTTTCTTTTTTGGTGCTAATTATTTAATGTTAAATTCAAACTCTGATTATTTATTGCTTATGTATAGTCAAGCAATTGATTTTTTTTAAAAAAAATTAACCTTGTATCCTCTACCGTTACTATAATTGCTTATTATTTCGGGAATTTTTTTGTTGTGATTTCTTGTAAACAAAGACAGTTTATCTCTTCCTTCCTAATGTGTATACCTTTTGTTTCCTTTTCTTACTGCATTAGATAGGGCTTCCAGTACAATATTGAATAGGAGCAGTGAGAGGGAATGTTCTTGCTTTTATCTCAGTCTTAGGTAGAAAGTGTCACCATTAAATGTGATTTTAGCTGTAGCTATTTTATCGACGTTCTTTGTCAAGTTGAAGAAGCTCCCCAATATTCCTAGTTTGCTGAGAATTTTTATTATTAATGATGTTGAATTTTATCAAGTGCTTTTCTATTGCATCTATTAATATCATACAATTTTTCTTCTTTAGCCTATTAATGTGATAAACTACATTAATTGATTTTGAGGTGTTTAACCAGCCTTGCATACCTAAAATGAATCTCATTTGGCCATGGTGAATAATTATTTTCTTTTTTGATCCAATTTTTAAATTTTGAGTATTTTTGTATGTGTTTTCATAAGAGAAGTTGATCTATAGGTTTTCGTTCTTGTAATGTATTTGGTTATGTATTAGAATATTGCTGGCCTCATAAGAATTAGGAAACATCCCCTCTACTTCCGTTTTCCGGAATACATAGTAGAGAATTGGTATCATTTCCGTGTTTGGGTAGACTTATCTATTGAAACAATCTGAGCCTGGTGACTTTTTTCAAGATGATTATTATTGATTTAATTTCTCTATAGACATAGACCTATTCAGATGATATATTTCTCCTTGTGTGAATTTTGATAGATTATGTCTTTCAAGAAATCAACCATTTTATCTAAGGTGTCAAACTTGTGGGTATAGAATTGTTTACAATATTTATTATTAACGTTATATTTTAAACTGCATAATATTTAACTTCCTCTGAAACATAATTTGTATGGAGCTCTAATGTTGCCAAATCATTTTATTATAATATTTCCTCTCGTAACAATTTTCTGTGAGCTAGATGTATCCCCTTTTTAGACAGGTGAGGAAACTGAGACCAAGAGAAAAAGGTGAAGTATTCAAAGTTAAAGACCTAGTAAATGTCAGAAAAAAATTCACACTTAGGTCTTTCTGTCTCCATAGTCCATGTTAAATATTTCTACTGATTGCAAATAAATTGCTCTCAGTTAGGATGTCTCCAGATACAAACCTTGAGAAACCTAGTATGCACATATATACATGCAAATGTCTTTCTTTGTACTCATTCATTTGTTTAGCACATGTTTATTGAATGCCTCCTGTGTGCCAGACACTGATTTAGGCATTAGTGATAATGTAGCAAACACAACAAAGTATTTCCTTTCATGGACTTTATATTAAGAGGAAATCACTAAAATATTGATAATAATAGTCACTCATGGCTCTAAGTGCTTTACAAATATTAACTCATTTAATCTTTATAGTGATCTTACAGAGTAACATTATTCTCAGTTTTACAAATGGGAAAACTGTTATACTAGAGTTTATAAGTAACTTGACCAAGGTTGTCCAGCTTATGTGCCAGAGCCAAACTCGTGTGAATGGACAGTGTGAATGACTAGATGAGCTCTCATCAGATTCTTTGAAATAGTATTTTTGGGGAGGAACTCAGAGAGAAAAGAGTTCTCTTTCTCTATGAGAGCTGAGAATAGGTGAATGGTCACCTATTGCAGTTTTGAACAGTAGGCAGGAGTTTCTTTAGCAGGGCTAGGTATCTGTCTCCAGAAGATAGACTAACTTTTGGACTGTGAAACTTTTAAGTAGCATGCTTAGGGAATATTGTTTGGAGTTTTTAAGCATGCATAATGAGGGTTTCTATCTAACTGCAATATGACATAGCAGAACTGTGGCTTCCAGTAACAAAGAGCATGGGTGAAGGAGGATGGGAACAGGGCAAGTTAAAATGCCACAGAGCTCAACCATTCTTGCCAAAATTCAGCCCTTTTTCTGGAGCAAACACTCCTTGGATTGTTGAAGGCCTCTGGTAATTTCCAGAGTTCTAAAAAAGGTTTTACAGTTTTTGCCGATATTCTTAACTGCTCTTACAGTCAAATGTGTCTTTGGATGTCCTCACTCTGCTATGCCAGAAGTGCTTCTCCTTTATAATTGAATGTTGACATTATAAATTCTACCCAAATTTTAGGAAATACACAGAGGTATTTTTTTAAATCCTATTCATTTTACCTGGAGAGAGGAAACATTGTAAGGTAAGTAAAAAGGACACTGCCTTCTAATAATGGCATGCCACCAGGCAATACTTCTCCGCCAGCTTGGTCATTTGGATGCTTCCTCTGTCATAGAATTAAGTGTGATAATATTCCCAGGAAAAATGAACAAATTTTATATGTGAATTCATATTACATGAACCACTCATATCTATATTTAAATGAAATATTGACTGGAAAATTGAGATTTAAACTCTAAATTTGCCCAGATATTAATTAGTATATAGCAAATTAGTGAGAATCTGATCATAACCTGGCTTTTAGCTTATATTCCCTCTTTGGGTTATTTGAACCAAGGTGTTCTTGACATAAAGAGCAATTTGTTTAAATTTAAGAAATTAGTTAAAATTTCACAAGCTTTATATTTTACCCAAGTCTCAACATTTTTGTGGATTGATTTTTTTAATCAATATATAGGATTGTACATTTACATTAATATTTTTCACATATATTTATTGTCTTTTTCTGTCGATTCCTTTAGTCTTTTATTATACCTCACAAGGTTTTTAATAGGACTGTACATTTGTCTACATTTTATTTGCACTACTTGAAGGATTTATTTATTCTCTTAACAGGAGGTACACTCAGTGAAATTTGCAAACTCTCAAACAAGTTTAATAGTGTAATTCCTGTGAGATCTGGCCATGAAGACCTGGAACTTTTGGACCTTTCAGCACCATTTCTTATACAAGGAACAATACATCACTATGGGTATGTTTTTTGTTTTGTTTTGTTTATTATACTTTTAAGTTCTGGGGTCATGTACAGAACATGCAGGTTTGTTACATAGATATATACATGCCATGGTGGTTTGCTGCACCCATCAACCCGTCACCTACATTAGGCATTTCTCCTAATGCTATCCTTCCCCTAGCCTCCCACCCTGTAACAGGCCCTGGTGTGTGATGTTCCCCTCCCTGTCTCCATGTGTTCTCACTGTTAAACTCCCACTTATGAGTGAGAATATGCGGTGTTTGGTTTTCTGTTCTTGTATTAGTTTGCTGAGAATGATGGTTTCCGGCTTCATGCATATGCCTGGCAAGGACATGAACTTACCCTTTTTTTGACTGCATAGTATTTCATGGTGTATATGTGCCACATTTTCTTAATCCAGTCTATCACTGATGGACATTTGGGTTAGTTACAAATGTTTGCTGTTGTGAATAGTGCTGCAGTAAACATACGTGTGCGTGTGTCTTTATAGTAGGATGATTTATAATCCTTTGGGTATGTACCCAGTAATGGGATTGCTGGATCAAATGGTATTTCTAGTTCTAGATCCTTGAGGAATTGCCACACTGTTTTCCACAATGATTGAACTAATTTACACTCCCACCAACAGTGTAAAAGCATTCCTGTTTCTCCACATTTTCTCCAGCATCTGTTGTTTCCTGACTTTTTAATGATTGCTCTTCTAACTGGCGTGAGATGGTATCTCATTGTGGTTTTCATTTGCATTTTTCTAATGACCAGTGATGATGAGCTTTTCTTCATATATTTGTTGGCTGCATAAATGTCTCCTTTTAAGAAGGGTCTATTCAGCCGGGCGCGGTGGCTCACGCCTATAATCCCAGCACTTTGGGAGGCCGAGACGGGCGGATCACGAGGTCAGGAGATTGAGACCATCCTGGCTAACACGGTGAAACCCCGTCTCTGCTAAAAATACAAAAAATTAGCCACACGTGGTGGCGGGCGCCTGTAGTCCCAGCTACTCAGGAGGCTGAGGCAGGAGAATGGCGTGAACCCGGGAGGCAGAGCTTGCAGTGAGCTGAGATCACGCCACTGCACTCCAGCCTGGGCGACAGAGCGAGACTCCATCTCAAAAAAAAAAAAAAAAAAAAAAAAAAAAAAAGAAGTGTCTATTCATATCCTTTGCCCACTTTTTGATGGGGTCATTTGTTTTTTTCTTGTAAATTTGTCTAAGTTCTTCATAGATTCTAGATATTAGCCCTTTGTCAGATGGATTGCAAAAATTTCCTCCCATTCTATAGGTTGCCTGTTTACTCTGATGATAGTTTCTTTTACCATTCAGGAGCTCTTTAGTTTAATTAGATCCCGTTTGTCTATTTTGGCTTTTGTTGCCATTGCTTTTGGTGTTTTAGACATGAAGTCTTTGCCCATGCCTATGTCCTGAATGGTATTGCCCAGGTTTTCTTCTAGGATTTTATGGTTTTAGATCTTACATTTAAGTCTTTAATCCATCTTGAGTTGATTTTTGTATAAGGTATGAAGAAGGGATCCAGATTCAGTTTTCTGCATATGGCTAGCCAGTTTTTCAAACACCATTTATTAAATAGGGAATCCTTTCCCCATTACTTGTTTTTGTCAGGTTTGTCAAAGATCAGATGGTTGTAGATGTGTGGTAGTGTTTTCAACTGAGAAAATTTTTGGAATTAAAAACTGTTTAAGAGTAATTTTTATTCTTTTATTTCATTGGTGACTCTTCAACAGAAACTTACAGTCTATCAACTTATATGTATAGGTTTTTCTGGCTTATATCTGTTCTTTTGATAAGCATATATAGTGAGAGTACACACAATGTGTGAGGCATAAGGCTGCCGTCTTTTGATTCCTCAGCCAGAGGCTGGTACTCTCTTGTTTTCTTTAACAGTGAGGATTTAGATACCAGTTACAGAGAAAAATTCAGAGCTGCAAACCTAGTAAAAATTAAGTGATTAAATTTCAGAATTTCTGAGCCACTAAATCACAAATTTGCTGCTACTGAAAATTGGAATATAAAAGAATTCATTAGAGCTATAAACAGATTTCTACATTTAGAAGGAGGGGATAGGGATAAAATCTCCTCTACTGCTTGGTGAAACAGTGACCCTGGACATATTCTAATTTGAGAAACCTTGGATTATAGCATATATTTTATCATCCTCTTTCTTTCCGACTTCTAAATTTGTAGCAATGATTAGTCATTGTCATAATGTGCAAATCCTGATTGAAAAATTATATACTGGTTGAAAAATATTATACTGTAAGCATGATACCTCCCTAATTGTGTGATAAAGTCACTATTAGGCATTGCCCTATGTTCTTCCAACGTATCATAAAATTTTAGCCATAAAGCGAAACTGTATGCCACTGACTTAAATTTCTGTGTTGTTGCTGTTTTTACTCTGATATACTCAGTGTCTAATTCCCTCTCTCGTTAGTCTTATGATCTGAGAGTCTGTCTTTTTTGAAAATAAAATGATTTTTAATTAAACCAATTAATTAAAAAATTAAAACTCATAAAATTCTGTTTTTCTTGTATAATAAGTCACTGAGCTTTCTCTTTTTGCATGCACATCCTCACTCACTAGCTTTTTTTCTTTCTCCTTTCTCTCTATTTTGCCTTCCCAGTACTGGGCACCATGACGAGTCTAAACCAGGAAAGGAAATATTCATTTTAAACTCTGAAATACTACTTCTTCTTTTACTAGAAGTCTCAACAGAATTACCCTAATATTACGGGATCTGGCCAGCAGCCCACAATGCAACGGGGCTCTCTCTTTGTTCCCAGGCGGATCGGCAGGTGGAGAAATAATAGACACACACGAGATAGTGAAAGCTGGGTCCAGGGGGTTCACCACCTTCTGGTCCCAGGGTGCCAACAATGCAGTATGCCAGTATTTATTATTAAGTTTAGTGAGGGCGGGGGTAGGTTAGTGAGGGATTTAGGGTCGTTTGATTATGAGGTGAGATGGTCACATGGGGATGAAGTAATTCTTTAACATCTGTAATAGAAGTACAGTATATAGAGATAAGAATTTACAACATAGTGTGTACATCAGTAATTTCTAACAGAGCCTTAAAACAGGAACAGCAGTAACAGTTGCAGCAAAAGCTGGTTACAAACAATTCATAGAAACAGGATGTGAAGTTAGACAACCAGTTAGACCAGAAATTCTCAAAAGGGAGTATGAACCCTAAAGAGGCCTAGAAGAGCCACGGCAAGATGAGGGCGTTTATAGCCCTATCTTACCCATATGGACAGGCACCCCCCGAGGCGTCCGATTATAGGCTCCCCGCAAGGGTCGCATTCCACTCCCAGAGCTATGAACATCTGCTTTACTGGGATAGGAATCTTGGTGATGTGAAACCTCCCTGACTGTATGTTCATTCATAGGCTCTCTGCAGGGGGAAGCACATCACGTGCTGTGGCTGATTCTGGCAGTCCAACCTGGCATTGTCTTTACACAATCCTGCATGCAATTTTGTATTTATAGTAATCAGGAGCATTTCATCTTTTATTCCATAGCAATAGTTTCAGAGTGTCTCCCTACATCTCCACCTTTTCTCTGATTTAAATGAACCATAGCACTCTGTTCCATAGCAATAGTTTCAGGGGGTCTCCCTACACCTTAAGGCCCCCTCTATTTTTTCTTTTCTTTTTTTTTTTTTTTGAGGTGGAGTTTTGCTCTTATTGCCCAGGCTGGAGTGCAGTGGCATGATCTCGACTCACTGCAACTTCTGCCTCCCAGGTTCAAGCGATTCTCGTGTCTCAACCCCCCGAGTAGCTGGGACTACAGGCACGCACCACTAACACGCGGCTGATTTTTTTGTATGTTTATTAGAAACGAGGTTTCACCATGTTGGCCAAGCTGGTCTTGACCTCCTGACCTTAGGTGATCTGCCCACCTCGCCTTCCCAAAGTGCTGGGATTACAGGCGTGAGCCACCGTGCCCAACCAAGGCTGTCGACTTTTTTACTAGTTGCTTCAAAACTAAGGCAAATGTTGTTCACACTCCAGATTTTAAGACATTTTTACATTTTTTATTACTTGAGTTTCATCGTCAAAAACCAGTATATCTTTTAATTGATTCTTCTTCTTATTTTTGGGTTATGAAATAATTTTAACTTATAGAAAAATATAAAAAGTAACATCACAACAATTATGTATCAACCATTTAGATTTAACAAATCTTAACATTTTAACATTATTTCAGACCCTTTTTTTTCTTTTTTTTTTTTGTGACAGAGTGTCACTCAGACACCCAGGCTGCAGTGGCATGATTTCAGCTCATTGTAACCTTGACATCCTGAACTCAAGCAATCCTCCCACCTCAGCCTCCCAAGTAGCTGGGGCTATAGGTGCACACCACCACACCTGGCTAATTTTTGTATTTTTTGTAGAGACGGGGTTTTGCCATGTTGCCCAGGCTGGTCTTGAACTCTGGAGTTCAAGCAATCCACCTGCCTTGGCCTCCAAACTTTTATTTTTAAGAAATTAAATGTTACAGAGAAGTAGTATAACCCCATATCAATCCCTTCTCTCACTCTTTTTTTCTCAGAGGTAGCTACTTTTCCAAAATTGTATGAAATCCTTCTCATCAGTGTTTTTATGCCTTCATTATATGTGTGAACTCTTAAGCAGTGTGGTGTATTTTTCATTTTTTAAATTTATATAAACTGTTTCATACTATGCCAAGCCTTTTGAAGCTTGCTTTTTTTGATTTGTTATTATTTTCAAGATTTACCCCTATTGACGCATGTAGATTTAGATTGTTTAACATCTATGGAGTATATTATGAAGTATCAGAATTTATTAGCCTATTTTCCTATTAATGGATATGTGTTTTTTGTTTCATTTACAGACCGTACTGAAGTCACGTTATATGTTTTCTTATGTATTTCCTTTGTCATAAAATGAGTTCAGTGGGTCATAACCAGTTTTTTTTTTTTTTTAAATTATATGATGTGGTTGTAGTAAGAAATGGAATGAGAGGGAATGGATAATAGAGAACATTTTACATAGTAAGGGTCATTGTTGTTCCCTAAACTTTCATTTCAATTGTATGTGTATGTATGTATTACTAAGATACGATATTAAATGAATTTCTTACTGTGAGTCCTTAACAAAAATGTTTGAAAGTTACTCCTAAGGTGTTTACCTGGAATTAGAATTACTAGATTGTAAGTTTTGCTTTATGGGAAAAATACCAAGTTGTTCTTTCCATGGTTTTAACAATGTATGGTCCCATCAGTGATTAATAAAATTTTAGTTTCTACCAAATTCTACCAAGTTCACTCCAATACTTGGTATTAGTCATTTCTGTCTGATACTTGGCATTAGTCTAACTTGTAACTTTCCAGTGAGCATCAGATGGTATCCATGATGTTTTCATTTGTATTTCCTAGATGTCTAGTGTGTTTAAGCAGCCCCCGTGTTTATCAACTATGTAGGTTTCCTACTCTGTGAATTCCATGTTCACATCTTTTGCCTGTTTCTCTATGTGGTTACTGATTTCTTTTTTGGTTCATGTGTGAGCACACATACGTGTAATTGATTGTAAGGTTTCTTTCCGTGTTAGAGATACTAATCTTTTGTCAGTTTCATCCATACTTCGAGTATATTCCATGCCTTTTGAACTTTACAGTTTCTTGTGTTTTATAGGTTTTTTAAAATTTTTGTTTGGTAATTGCTTTATAGCTTACTCTCATCCCTTTGCTTTCAAGTTTCTGGCATTCTGTTTTGTATGTCACTCATACATAAAAGCTTATGGCTAAATTTTAGTTTTAATAGTTGAGTTTAAATATATTCTTAAGTTATTGATATATTTAGTTTATGTTTCTAATTTTTTCTGTTTCCCCTTTCGCTGCTTTGGAAGTAAGTAGTTCTGTATTTAATTTTGACTTAATATCCTTAATTTTTAATTTTTATACTATACTTTAATAATGTCTAATGCTAGTCAATATCATAGTCTTTTTCTTAGGCAATAATATTCTTTCGTTAAATTAACATCTTTTGTTAGAAAAAGAAACATCTATTTGTTTCATGAGTAGAAGGGGATAAGATGCAATATGGTTACCCTCTTGTTTTCCTCAAAGTGCAAATGAGAACAAATGTGCATGTACCTTTTAAACTTTTATTTTTATTCAAGTATGTCTTTTCAAGTATATTTTCTTAACATCTCATAAATATTATGATGCATAATAAAAAATAAATTACTCATATTTAAAATACATTGGTATTCAAGTAAAGCAAAATACATGTACTACACAATGCACAACTTTAGTGTATTGTGTAGTCTTAGACTTACATACATTTCAAAAGTTAACTATGGAATTAGGCATCATAAACTACAAACCTCTGGATATGTGCTTACTAAAAATATCCATTATCTAGAATCTTGCACATTCTGACTGTTTAGTAATTTTTCTCTATTTGCCATATTTATTAACACTTTGAATTTATTAAGATATTACTTACAGAGGCCGGGCATGGTGGCTCATGCCTGTAATCCCAGTACTTTGTGAGGCCAAGGCAGGCAGATGGCTTGAGCTCAGAAATTCGAGACCAGCCTAGGCATTGTGGCAAGACCTGTCTCTACAAAATTACAAAAATTACCCAGTCATAGTGGTGTGCAGCTGTGGTTCTAGCTACTTGGAAGGCTGAGGTGGGAGACTCACTTGAGCCCAGGAGGCAGAGGTGGCAGTGCCTGGGTGACAGGCCTTATCTTAAAAAAAAAAAAAAAAAAATTGCTCATAGAATCAGATAATTCTCAGAGATGATCATTTTCTTCAACTTTTCATTTTAACAAATAAGGAAATTGAGAGCAAAATTAATTAATGATTTGGACCTGGAACCCAGCACCCTGTTCTCAATTTAGAGTTGTTTATTCTGAATCTTATACTGCCTTTTTTATTGCCTTTATGTAACAAGCTTACTCCTTCATAATACTCTTGTGAAACAAGCAAGCACATTACAATATAGGGGATGCAGTATTCTTCTGTTTAATAATTTATATTTTAAAACTACACGTTTGAGCAGTAAAAAGTTATAACAATTAAACAAGCTAAATTATTTTAAAATATTTATGGTTCTTTCTTTTATAAATTTCAGATGTAAGCAGTGTTCTAGTTTGAAATCCATACAAAATCTAAATTCGTTGGTCGATAAAACATCGTGGATTCCTTCTTCTGTGGCAGAAGGTTAGCTAAATTTCCATGCCCTGCAATTTTAACTGTTTGTATACAAGGTTATTCCACCTGTTTATATTTCAGTATACCTGAAAGTATACCTATTCCTTCTTTGTATACCTATTCCTTCTTCTGTAAGATAAACAGACTTTGTAAATTTAAAGATATCTGCCAAGCCTTTCTTTAGTCTGTATTTCTTCAAGCAGGCACCGTCACATTTGTTTGTACTTTCCCCCATGCCTTACTATTTTGTTTTTCCTCCTCAGTAAGCATTCCACTTTACTAGTGCTCTTCTCAGAATTTGGCATTCAGAGCTGGACGTTGTGCTGCAGATGTTGTTTGGCCAATTCAGAACAGAGTGAAATTATTATTTACCTAAAACTGGACACTCCACTTCTACTAGCCTGAAATGTCATTGTATAGCTATTTATTTGTACACTTGGTTTTGTTTTCTTTCCTTTTTAATACAGCCATCTCATGTTTTATTTGTGGTCCATTGAAATCCTGGGTTCCTGTCACATGAACTTCTTGAACTTGGTCTCCTCATTCTATTCTTAATGTAATTTTTTTTTTCCTGTCACATGAGCTTCTTGAACTTGGTCTCTTCATTCTATTCTTAATGTAATATTTTTGTTTTTATGGTTCCTGGGAGTGGTTACTAAGTTCATCTTTCTTAGTTTTAGTTCATAGTTTTAATCTGTTGAGACCTTTTGAAGCCTAAAAATCAGTTCCCCTGTATTAATGTCTTTTGTATGCCCTAGTTCATGTCTGTATGTCCTAATTTATTCTTACTTGCCCTCTAAATCCTACTATTTAAATATGGGTTCCACAGATAAAAGCTAATAAAACGTTCTATAAATTGAGTATCTTCATTTCCAAACAAGAAGATGTTTATCTTAACCTGTGAATTTTCATGTTACCCAGTATCTCTTAATTTCTTATTTCTTCCTCATCTTACCAAATTATTAAATCTCAGATTCTGACATTCTTGTCCATTCAACCAGACGATATCCCTTTTCTCTTTTTTAAAATTACAAATTATTTCCCTAGCTTATAATGGAGAGAGGCATGCTAAAACGGTATTTAACTGCATGCTATTTTTTAGAACATTCTGTATTTTAATTTTATCTTTCATAAAACTAACATGCAATGAGTTACATTTCATGAATCACTTTTTGTGGTTTCTGTGGAGGCTATCAACTGTTTTATTTATTTATTTATTTTATTTATTTATTTTGAGACACAGTCTTACTCTGTTGCCCAGGCTGGAGTGCAGTGGTGCAATCTCTGTTCACTGCAACCTCCGCTCACTGCAACCTCCACCTCCCAGGTTCAAGCATTTCTCATGCCTCATCCTCCAGAGGAGCTGGGATTACAGGTGTATGTTACTGTGCCTCACTATTTTTTTGGTATTTTTAGTAGAGACAGGGTTTCATCATGTTGACCAGGCTGATCTTGAACTCCTGTCGGGTGATCCATCCACCTCAGCCTCCCAAAGTGCTGGGAATACAGGTGTGAGGGTGTCAACTCATTTTAAATATACATTAATATTTAATCAAAAAAGATTAAGTTGCTTATGATAAGATATTCTCCCTATGTAGGTATAGTGAAATGTTCCAAAATGAATTTGCTAAATGAGCTTAATTATAGGTTGAGTATCTGTGGAGTTAAAAACACAAACTGTTTGTCCTCTGCTCTGACACCACAGCAATCAGCACAGGAGACTTATGTGACCAAACGCATAGGGGTTTTCACCCACACACCAAGCAGGGAGTCCCTCAGCAGATGCCAGCTGGGTGTCCTCCAATTCAATTCTGACACTGTCTACCTGGAGATAATGCCAAGTTTTTCTTCGTATCTTGAGTTATTTTAGTAAATAAAATTTACAGGTCTGTACTATCATAAAACAATTTTAACTTTACCTTGATAATAAGGAATAGCAGACTCATATGGTTTGATCTTTTTTTCCTTCACTAGTACTGGGTATTGTACCCCTCCAATATGTGTTTGTTATGACATTTACACTTGATGATGGAACAGGAGTACTAGAAGCCTATCTCATGGATTCTGTAAGTATCAGAGGTAGTAAAGATATTTTTAATTAAAAAATAATATTTAAAAAATTGAATACGTGTATTCATACCTGCTTTATTCCTAAAAGGACTTAAGGCAACTTAAAAATATAAGTAAAATATGAGCACATAAATTTTGAATCATCTGTGTATGTATCTCTTTTTTTATTTGACACTAAAATCATCTGTGTATGCATTCTTTTTTTATTTGATAATTAAACCACACAGTTGAATAGTGGAAAATTAAGGAACAGGATTTAAAGAGTCATTCGCTATACCATGTTTCTCAAAATGCAGAGATATGGCTACCTTATGGAAGTACATTTGTAATCAACATTTTGTCGTACTTTTAATTTTGAATCATCTGTGTATGTATCTCTTTTTTTATTTGACACTAAATCTTAACAGTTGAATAGTGGAAAATTAAGGAACAGGGATTTAAAGAGTCATTCGCTATACCACAGCCAAAATGCAGAGATATGGCTACACTATGGAAGCGTTATTTGTAATCAACATTTTGTCATACTTTTGTTTGTTTGTTTTTTGAGATGGAGTCTTGCTCTGTCGCCCAGGCTGGAGTGCAGTGGCACGATCTCGGCTCACTGCAACCTCCGCTTCCCGGGTTCAAGGAGTTCTCTGCCTCAGCCTCCCATAGCTGGGACTACACGTATGCGCCACCATGCCTGGCTAATTTTTGTATTTTTAGTAGAGACAGGGTTTCACCATCTTGTCCAGGCTGGTCTTGAACTCCTGACCTTGCAATCCACCCGCCTTGGCCTCCCAAAGTGCTGATATTACAGGCGTGAGCCACCACGCCCAGCCTTGATCATACTTTTTAAACCTCCACATTTCATATTAGAGGAAATGAAGTTACTTTGACAGGGAAGATAGATATTATTGTATAAAGTTTTGAGGCAGTCTACAAAAATCTTCCTCATTTCTGACAATAATTGCAATTGGAAGTCCCCAAGGCCACTCTTAGATTTGATAATTCACAAGACTCCTAGAACTCACTGAAAACTATTATACTGACAGTTACAGATTATTACAGCTAACGGATGTACATTAAAATCAGATAATGAAAGAGATGTACAGGACCGAGTCCAGGAAAGTTCCAGACACGGAGCTTATGGTTGTCCTCTCCCCATAGAGTTGTGGACTGTTGCTTTACCTGCAACAGTGTGTAGCAATATACATAATACATTGCCAGATAGGGAAGCTCTGCTAAAAGATTTTGGTGGGACTCTATCATGTAGGTATGGTTGACTGCCCATATGGCTGATCACAGTCTTCAGCCCCTCTTGAGATCAACATGATACCACATGCTCCAAACTTCCCACCCTACATCATACTGTTAAACTATTCATAGTGACCCAAGGCTTCCAGGCAAAAATGCTTCTATCAAGTGTGACATGGAAAGGGCTTAGAGATTACGTTCCACAAGCTAAGGTCAAAGCACAGACCTCTCTTAGGGTAAAGTTAAAATGTTTACTACATGGATTGGAAAAGAGCTGAGGTATAGTTGAGAGGAGAATTTTTCTCCCACCTGCACAGTTCATTTAACCTTTCATTAAATATTTAATGAGCACCTGCTGTGTACTAGGTTCTATCCTATGTGATGGAGAGACAGCAGTGAACAAAGTAAGCAAAATTCCTTCCTTCTTGAAACTTATAACCTAATAGGGAAGAGAAAAATTAAATATATAGTACATATACTATATGTTATATTCATTAAGCTTAGCGCAAGATGTTTTTTCTGTGCACAAAGAGAATAGTCAGCCTCTTTGTTTTAAAATCATTATTACCATCATCATTATTAAATCAGAGCAATTTACTTGATTATGTATATCTCAAAGCTATTTTAAGATTAAAGTAGTAAATAAGATTTTGGAGTTGAGACCAGCATTCTAGTTTATGAATTCTACAGTCTTGATAGAGGGAAGCTGTCTAGATTATCTTTTAATTGGACAATATTGAAATATGTGTTAATAACATTAAAATGATTATTTCCTTTTTTTTTTTCCCTCTCATGAAACATTTTTAAGGACAAATTCTTCCAGATCCCAGCATCAGAAGTTCTAATGGATGATGACCTTCAGAAAAGTATGGATATAATCATGGATATGTTTTGTCCTCCAGGAATAAAAATTGGTAGGCAAGAATATTTTAACAATCCCACACTTCTTTTACTTGAGATAGCACTAGCATATATGTACTCTGTGGACTTTTAGAAGTCTGAAAGCTTTGCTTCAAATGAATTACGAAGTAGTGACTGATTACTGTATGATCAACCTTTGATGAAGAGAGTGGCAAGGATAAAATAGTTATGAATCATAATTCTTGCAGTCAAAAGATTTTAAAAATATTTTAAAATATAGGAAAGGGGGGTAACTTTGATCACAAGCACATTTGACATTGTCATGCTACAAGCATTTTAGTTGAAATAAGACCAAAAGTGATAAATTGTTGGCAGTAAACATTTTCTGTAATAAACTCCAATTATCCAATTTAATTCATGGATGAATTTTTTTATTTAGTGTTAACTAGTTTCACATTTTACAAGCTTTTTTTTTACCAATTTTTTTATGAGCTTTGTTTTCTGAATAAACATTTGATTAATAAACCAGATCCTCCTCATTTCAAATTGTACTGCTTATACCTGCTGCCACTGAATTTTCCTTCTGTGACCATATTTGTGCTTATGTTGAAATTTGCAAATCTAAGTCATATTAAGACAATTTGATTTTTCTCACAATTTTTTATTGTAGGAAATTTTACCAGCTGCAGATTTAGCAGCTGGTTTAATTTTTATATATTATTTTAAATCAGACTTTACTCTTCCTGGTCAATCTTTGCATCTTATAATAGTTACATAATGATTGAAATTTGTGTTGGTCTGTAACAAAGTTTAACTTGAATACCTTTATTTGTTGTCAGTTTTAATTTGTGTTAGCTGTTTGGATTCTTTTGGATAGATTTCTAGAAGTAAATCTTTATATCCAAAAGCATGGGCCTGGTAGACCCACTTTAACCACTATTTTAGATTTTTAAAATATATACTAACCATTTTGAAACCCAAGGTTTTCCTAGCTTGATTGATAAGCTAGGTTCACACAGTTTTTAAATGCTAGAGTAATCACTGCTACCTGTTTGTGACAAAAAATTCAGATTAGTCACAATTGCTCCAAAACAATAACATGAATCTAGTATGTATTTTGGAGGAGAATAATGTTAAATTCGGAAGGGACGTTTACTTACTTTTAAATAAATGTTAATTTTTCTAGCTCAGTGGTAAGCTTAGGTACCTATTTCAGAGTTATTTATTTTGTTTTAGTGGTTAAATACCTTTTTTTGTTTTTGTTTTTGTAGATGCATATCCGTGGTTGGAATGCTTCATCAAGTCATACAATGTCACAAATGGAACGGACAATCAAATTTGCTATCAGATTTTTGACACCACAGTTGCAGAAGATGTAATCTAATATTGCCATCCAATTTAGCATACATAAAATGTTGCCACTCACCATCCCTGTTTGAGCTTCTTTTCCTGCCCTGAGTTTTGTATCAGCAATGTTGATGATTTTAGCATGGGTATGGGATTAGAAAATGTCCTTTCTTTAAATCTCTTGGCTTTTACTGGGTACAAGGTAAATAATGGCTATAGATTTTATTTTGCTTTCTGTTTTGCTTTTGCACAAACAGACCTGCTTTAACAAGTACTGCTGAGATAAGTGTTTGTCTGATCAAGCTACAGTGTACTTTAAGTAGAAATGGCAAAGTTGCTTTGTTAGGGTGCCGATACTGATGATTTTAGGATAAATTCACTTCTTTAAACATGTAATACATGGTTTGATTGCTTGTTTCTCTCCAGGATAGTAGAGATTTCTCTATTTCACCTCAACCTAATAAAGTGGTCAGATTTATAATGTTAGTGATTTAATATGATCCTTTTCTAATAGTCTCCTGTAAAATATGCCAGTATTACAACTTACAACTGATTGAATGAGATGTTAACTTAGTAAAATAATTTGATTTTTACCTGACAGTGTTTGTCAAAGTTAAAATCATGAATGTTCAATTTTATACAAACATTTAATATATGTTTAGATTTGTATATGTTATTTGCCAAAGACAGAAATAAATTACCTGGTTTAATATTAGTGAAGAATAAATAAGTGCACACATTTCAACTGTTTCATTTATTTGCCCTAAGTTGAGCCAAAAAATGATATGAGGCAAAGAATCAAAGCAGGTGTGGCAATACAGCAGATGTTTAGGGCTGTCTACATCCCAGGTACTGTGCTAAGCACTAAACATGTATTTGATCCTCACAGCAACCCATTTTTCCGATAAGAAATCTGAGGCTTGATTGATAAGCTAGGTTCACACAGTTTTTAAATGCTAGAGTCTGTGCCTTAATTCACATAATCTCTATTCAGAGCCTGTACTCTTAACCACTCAGGGATTCTGGAACAGAAGCTAACAGTTTTCTGCAATGAGTCTTTGACTTAAATATCTGAAATAACATTGGAAATAGATTATAAGAGGAATCAATGTGTTTTTCTATACTTTCAAAATACTTTTAACATCTTACTGTCAAAAAACGATTGGATAACTGATTTTCTTTGCTCATAATAACTCTAAATTCTAGTTCCTGAGTATATTAACACATCTGTATACCTAACTACCAATGTCCCCCATCATCGACTAATCAGTTTGTTTGAGACAATGAGAAAGACTGATTTTATTTTCAGGAATATAGACTCTTGGTTCAAAACATTTTCAGGAAAAATATTTTAAAACCCTACAGTTGAACAGGTGTGTTTCTGTGTTGATGATGTGCTCAGGATACAAAGGTGAGATAAACATTTTTTCTGCCTTCAGGAAGCACTCAGTCTAGAAGAGTAGAGGTCCAAAGGTGCCATAGGTTCACACTGTGAGCCTGCAAGATCTCCACGTTAACAAAGGAAAACTCTTCCTATGAATCTTCGTGATGATAGGCCATGTCTCTTTTTATTTTTGTTTTAAATAAAAATCCAGATTATCATGATTTCTTTTGGTTTATTGTGGGGTTTTGTCCTTGTCTTTTTAAAAAACTTTTCAGTTTTTAGCAAGAATTATTCCATCAACACCTAGTGTTTATCTAGAGTGATGTATGCACTCTGTGCTAATCAGGAACCCAGAGTTAGGAGAATTTTTATTTCTGGAGCAACAACTAAATGGTAGTTTAGTGTGCCCCAATTTGATTCCTGCCCCTTTCTGTAAACACTGATAGAATCTTCCTGTCAGATTTTAAATTACACAAATTTAAGAAAGAGGTTCATGTACAGACTCAATCTCAATTTCCACTTTCTGCAGCGTCCATTTTTTAAGACACTACTGGATTGACTCATACTGTCCATGTATTGTTCTTAGAATGCATGTCTTAGAAAAATCTGAAACAGTACATTATTCTTTATCTAGATGTAGCAATGAGAAACACACTACTTAGAGACTTCTTCTGTGGCAACCTTCAATTATACTGCTGTATTTGAGGGAACCATACATGCCAACATACAATGTATCATTCCTCATTTCTTTTTACCCCTGCTCATGCTTTAAGTCGGGAATTGTTTCTAAATGATTATAGAAAGACGGATGTTGATGGACTAGAAGAAGCTGACGGTAGTATACTCTGTCTACTTAAAAAAGCCATCTTCACCCGTTAGGGTACTGGCTGCCCAGATTTCAAATTGGTGTAAATCCTGTGCCTTAGCTACTTGGAGGTAACAGAAAAGGGCCAAAATATTTTCCCTGCCCACTTCCCAGCTGACTATGCAGTCCTGTTTTAGATAATAAAACACGAATTTTTCACTACGTGTGACTCTGAATCCAGACAGTTTTCTTCTATACTTTCTAGAAGCTTTCCTTGGGATCTGGAAAGGCTAAACTCATTTGATTATTTTCAATGTTGTTTTAAATTTGACTTTATATTTCATCAAGTTTTGTTTTTATCTAGACTTTTTTTATTAATAAAATTAAGGATTTAAAACAAATGTAGGGTCTATAAACTTGAACTAGTTCCTGCTCCAATTAGTACCCAGGAAGAAACCACTTTTAACAATATGGTGTATAATTGTTAAGATTGTTCTTTCTAAGAACATGTGAGCATGCCTATGTGTGTGTGTATATACACACAAATATATATGTTAGCGTCATGCTAAATAGTACTGCAACTTTCTTTTTTCATATAGAGAACTGTATTTTTGCATGTTGATACACATACAGGGAGAAACTTATTGCTTATAATTACTCAGCATAAGTAACTTTCAATGTGTAATTCTCTGATAATTTTAATTTCTATTTCTGTTGTGGTTTTTTGTGTAAGTATTCTATTTTTTATTGTGCCAGTTTGGGATTTTATATGTTTACAAAAATGTATTCTTGTTATCTGCTTTATTACCACATATTACCACATAGTTATTAATGATAATGTGTTTTACTTATTATTTTACTTTGTATTTTGTCTGGTGTTATTTCCCCTTTAAATGCATCTGGAAGCTCAGAGACCTAGTTTCACTATGTCCTCTGGAGGTTTTTAGGTGGTAAGAATTTTGGAGACCTATACAGACTTCGAATACAGGATTAGGACTCTGCCATGACATAGTTGCTTTAAATTATTATTTCATGCTTTGAAGAATTTATTGTGAAACGAATGTTAATGTAAGAAAAAACACCTTCTGTAATGCTTTTCATTAGGAAATGCAGACTCTGTGAAGGCTATAATGAGTCACATTAAAGTTCTAGAACATTATGAGAAATATAAATACATCTTCCTTTCTTGGCCCCTCAGAATCTCTGGATAGTGTCAACCCTACCCATTCCAGGAAAAAGAGACCTAGTCAGCTAGTAAAATCTGGGCATAATGACCTGTCTTCTCTCTGGTACTTGGAAAGAGTATCTAAACGCACTAAGCGGGCGCAGGCACTCACAAGTGCTCTCAGGTATGTGAGATGCTATGTTCTTTTGGCAGTTGGGAAATTAATTAGTAGTGCTATGTTTTTGTTTTTGTTTTGTTTTTTCACTATTGTGATTTAAGCTGTTAGGAAATTTGAGATCAGCTAGGGATTCTAAGTGATGATCATCTTACATGGAGATAAATAAATGTCCCTTCCATCAGGACTGCATTTGATGGGTTGAAAACTATTGAGCATCAATTACAATGACAAAGATAATGTATCAGTGTATATGGGAGCTCTCCCTCACATGGCCAATTGGTGAAACATGGATAGTGCAGAGATTCCTCTGCTATTTTTCGACTATAGCAACTATAGCAACATCTTAATGAATTTCAAGATTTCCTTGAAATCTAGGCCACAAAGTCACAGTCACATTGTGTGTGTGTGTGTGTGTGTGTGTGTGTGAGAGAGAGAGAGAGAGAGAGAGAGAGATACTTGCTTTTATTCTCTTCTTTGTGTTCGCTTTGCAGGGTACTATGTTGGAATTTACCTAAAAATCTAGTCCACAACTACCAAGGAAAGCATTTCCAACTTGTGTGAAAGTTTCTTTTATTTCATCTATTTGTTCACAGTATTTTAAAGATTTGGAGCACGTCATGTTAAAAACTTTAACCTTCCTATCATCTATTAATCAAATATTGGTGTAGTTCCTAAACGTGTACCTTTTTATATACAACCTTGCTTTTTTTTCCTATAACTTCAAAATGTTTTTTTTTTCCTTTTTTGAAATTGGAACTCCCTTTGTTACACAAACACTATTCCTCAGCCGACTTCTGTCCTCCATTAGAAGGCAGTCTTTCTAGAATTTAAAGTCTCTTGCCAAGTTTAACTACTTGATAAGTGACATTCTGTTCCAAGCTTTTATAATAGTTAATACATACATAAATAGCTAATGCAAGTCTCTCATAGCACTACAAGGAAGGTAAGTCATTTTAAAATCAAAAGTATTAACCTGTGGAGTCAAGTGAAAACATAGCTTGCAGCAGGTAGGCATGGCTGTGGTTTTATTTTTGTATAGGAAATCTTACGTGCTTAATCTTCATTAGAAAAGGCTCTAAAAAAATAAACATCTTTAAATTTTGGAATCATTAAATACTTTTGTACAATAAAAGGTTAAATGGAGATTAAGACAAAGAATACAAAGTACAATACAGATATGTAAAAGTTAATACATACCTTTGCATTCATTTATTACTCAGACAGTGTCTGTATCCAAAAAGTATTTGGTGTGATTTACAATAAAAGACAAACATGGGACACAGGACACACCTTTAGAAACAGGGCAAGAAGGGCCAAAGAAGTGTTAAGATAATTTAAAAACTCTAAGGAATGCTATAGGTTTTGAACAAACCTTATTGAAACAACAGTGTTCCCCGACACCCCTCACAGGACATGCAACAGGGGTGTGACTCTGTATTCAGGCCACTGCAAGTTCAAAACCCTTATTGGGCAGGGAGCACACACATGGGCAGGTGCAGGAAGTGGGGTGAGAACTTTTGGGCTCCAGCCCCATGGCAGCGTCTAGGGGTGGGTGCCTGTGACTCCTGAAGCCCCAATGTTATGGTGCTCTTTTAGCTCTGCTGTCCGAGGATGGCTGAAGTGCTAGCCTCTCAATGCCCCCCTTGTCACACAAGCTCTTGTTTGGAGTCCAGGAAGAATCAGGTCATACATGCACTTGAAGGGTGAATGTGGGGGTTTTATTGAGTGGTGGATGTGGCTTTCAATGGGCTGGGTGGGAAACTGGAAGGGGGATGGAGTGGGAAGATGATCTTCCCCTGGAGTTTAGCCAGCCACGAGCTGATCCTCTCCCATCACCTCCGGCCAAACTCAACATTCAGACACACCTTCTCTTCTCTCCTTCTCTACTGCGCCGTTCTGCCATTTTGTTTTTCTGCTTATCTGCTACTGGAGCCTGGGGCCTGAGGTTTATATGGGTACAGGATAAGGGGGTATGGTGAGCCAAAAGACAACTTTTTGGGTGTGAAAACAGGAATGTCTGTTCCCAGTTAGGGCCGTGGGTTTCTAGGCTTGAGAGTAGGACCTTTGCCAGGGAACTGCCCTCTTCTACCCCGTATTTTCGTTTTCTGTCCATATTGTTACACATGAAAATGCAACAGGTTACATTGCTCCTAAATAAAAGTTATTAAATTATGTTTTTAGGAAATACAAACCTTTTCTTTATCTCAGTATTGAGTACAGGTAAGTTTTTATATTCCACACCCTAAACAGAATGATTTATGTAGTTAATAGTAGTTGCTTTAAAATGCAAAAACATGATCCAGAATGTGGGAGTTAAGTTCTGAAGATGGAAGAAATGGAGTAGGGTAATTTTCCTCTAACTGTCCATCTTTTGTCTCTTATGTGAGGAATGTTTTTGTTTTAATGATTAATGTAAAGTGAAATATCTGCATATTTAAAAATTATTAGAAGCAATAATTACAAGAAAAGTAATAAGTATTTTTCTGGTATTAAAAATTCTATTCTCAGCCAGGCGTGGTGGCTCACACCTGTAATCCCAGCACTTTGGGAGGCCAAGGTGGGCGGATCACGAGGTCAGGAGATTGAGACCATCCTGGCTAATATGGTGAAACCCCGTCTCTACTAAAAATACAAAAACATTGGGTGTGGTGGGCGCTTGTACTCCCAACTACTTGGGAGGCTGAGGCAGGAGGATGACGTGAACCTGGGAAGGGTAGCTTGCAGTGAGCTGAGATCGCGCTATTGCACTCCAGCCTGAGCAACAGGGCGAGACTCCGTGTCAAAAAAAAAAAAAACTATTCTCTTCTGATGCAAATTTAACTGAGAAAATTGGCTCTTTTTACCTTTTCCTTTTCTTGTTGGAGATGATGAATTAAAAGAAATACCTTGAACATAATGATTCATGTCAGAAAGAATGCAGGTTTTCATGAGTCATTTGGAAGACATGTATTCTTCTTTTTCACCTTTAGTGCTCCATGGAAGGTGTTGCTTTAGTCATAAGTCAAATAAGCTTCACATCTGTGCCCAACTGGGAATTTGCTGGGAGAGTATTTTACCTACATCAGATTTACTGAGCTAATACCCAAACATTACATCTAGTCATCCATGATTCCTCTTTCTTTTGCACTCCACATCCAATCCATTATAAAAATTATCATGGCTAACTCTTTAAAATACATCCAGAATTTAACCATTTATTACCACTTCTACCATCATGTTGGTCATGCTGCCATCTTCTTATGCCTGGACTAGAGCCAGTGGCCTGCAACTGGTCTTCCTGCCTCCACAATTTCCCCAGGTTGATCTGTTAACACATAAGGCACATATTATTTTCCATGCGATTACCATGGCCTTCACCACCCAATGTGATAGATGTAGTTCCTCACTACTGTTGCGGGAAGTCAGGGACCCTGAATGGAGGGACCGGCTGGAGCCATGGCAGAGGAACATAAATTGTGAAGATTTCATGGACATTTATCAGTTCCCAAATAATACTTTTATAATTTCTTATGCCTGTCTTTAATCTCAATCCTGTTATCTTCGTAAGCTGATGATGTATGTCACCTCAGGACCACTGTGATAATTGTGTTAACTGTACAAATTGATTGTAAAATGTGTTTGAACAATATGAAATCAGTGCACCTTGAAAAAGAACAGAATAACAGTGATTTTTAGGGAACAAGGGGAGACAACTATAAAGTCTTACTGCCTGCGGGGTCGGGCAAAAAGAGTCATATTTTTCTTCTTGCAGAGAGCCTGTAAATGGATGTGCAAGTAGGGAAGATATCACTAAATTCTTTTCCTAACAAGGATTATTAATACCCTGGGAAAGGAATGCATTCCTGGGAGGAGGTCCATAAACGGCCGCTCTGGGAATGTCTGTCTTATGCGGTTGAGATAAGGACTGAGATATGCCCTGGTCTCCTGCAGTACCCTGAGGCTTATTAGGGTGGGGAAAAACTCCACCCTGGTAAATTTGTGGTCAGACTGGTTCTGCTCTCAAACCATGTTTTCTGTTAAGATGTTTATCAAGATAATACGTGCACCACTGAACATAGACCCTTATCAGTAGTTCTCTTTTTTGCCCTTTGAAACATGTGATCTACTCCCTGTTCTTACACCCCCTCCTTTTTGAAACCCTTAATAAAAACTTGCTGGTTTGAGGCTCAGATGGGTATCATGGTCCTACTGATATGTGATGTCACCTCTGGCGGCCCAGCTGTAAAATTCCTCTCTTTGTACTCTTTCTCTTTACTTATCAGCCGGCCGACACTTATGGAAAATGGAAAGAACTTACCTTGAAATATTGGGGGTGGGTTCCCCCTATATCTGATGTGCCAACGTGGTTTTCTTTTTCCTAAGCGCATGTGGGAACCTGATTCCCTTTGGTAGGTGCAGAGAAACGTTCATCGATCTGGTCCATAGAAACACGTGTTTGGCTCCCTGACAGTTGGTGAGTTGTCTGTGTATTGTCTGGGGTAACTATGGGTCATGCCGAGTCTAAACATTATGCTTATCTCTGCTATATTAAACTCCTGTTAAAACAGGGAGGAGTTCAGGTACCCAAGGAAAATATGGTCACTGTGTTCAGGGCAGTGGAGGATCACTGTTCTTGGTTTCCTGAAAAGTGAACGTTAGATATGGAACTATAGGATCATGTTGGTGCAAAATTCCAGGAACTGGTGCTGACAGGAAATTATGTTCCCGTCACTGTTGGGGG